TACTACTTCTGTCAGTGATTATTTCTTTCAGACATGTTTAATATTTTGAGCTGATATTATAACGGGTATGATTTTAAATTATCATGCTTTTCTTTGCATGTAACTGCTTGAGTTGTGTTCAAGATTTTGCATACTGAAAATGTACAAATATGCAAATTCTAATATACATATCCCATTGGCTTTTGATAACCTTATAACTCTAGAGACAATGAATAAATTCTGCTGTTATTCATAGTGGCGGTGGTATAGGGCGGATGCTCCAATGATACATCTGAGGCGATCAACAAGCCATTGTAATGGTCTTAGTTAACTAGTCTGAGAAGATAAGTCAGTTCCAGACACCCACAGCTCCTGCTGAGTCAGTGTCAGTGCCAAAGGAATGTGAAACATGTACACTCGCTGGCCACTTTATTAGGTACCTGGTTAGTGTGAAGTTGAACCACACCCCACTTTTAAAACTGCCCTTATTCTTTGTGACATAGATTTAGCAAACATTTTGGTCCATATTGAGATGATGGCAAAGAATCATACAGTTGCTGCAGGTTTGTCGGCTGCAAATGACAAAATGTGCAATTTTTTTTTTTTTCCCATTCCAGGCACACCCCAAAGGTGTAGATTTAGGACCTGGTGTGACTTTGTCTTGTGAAAAGCTGTGTTATCCTGGTGGAAGGAGCATTAAAGGATGTTCATAGAAGGGATGGTCGTGGTCAGTAACAATACTCTGGCTGTGGAGTTTAAACAATGCTCTGTTGGTACTAAGGGCTCCCAAGTGTCTCATGAAAATATCTTCATCAACATTATACAAGTAGCAGCCTTAACCATTTATACAAGGCTAGATGCTTACATGTTGTTAACAGCAAATTCTGAGCATACCATTTAAATATGATGCATAATTTGAGACTCATCAGTTCAGGCCACAATTTTACAATCTTCTATTGTCCAATTTCACAAAACCTGCTGTTTTCCAATCTAATCCCAATTCGTCTTAGCCCTTTCCTTTAACCCTATTCCTCATTTTGTGCATTCACGTAACAGGGTAGAAATGTTCCAATTCTCTTTAAACTAGAGGCACAGGGACATGGCTGCAAACCTTTGCAAGATGACCCACAAATGTAAAAAGGCCATTAATAAGGATTTTTTTTTTTGCTACAAACAAGCATCTTATTTATTACATTCATAATGATGTGTGGTATGGTTAAGATCCTCAAAAAGACGTTTAGATTTTATTTTTATTTTTTTGATAGTTATAGTCTCTTAATATCCACTGAAAAAAACATTACACAATATATTTTAAGTTCTTATAACATTACCTGATGACTTAACAGAATAGGCTAATCTGTCAGAAAATCTAGTGGCTGTAAAATAGCTTTTTACAGCATGTCTGGAAATGTTAATGTTGTTTTCTTGTGGTCACATCCATGAATATCACCACTGTGAATAAAAAATACAGTTTTATCTACCTTCGCGCACTGGAAGGCTCATATGCGAGATGCATTGCACTTTTCTTTTCTTGAGTAAAGAGCTCTGTACTTTTTATGTTACTAGACAAGCACTGTATCAATAGTGTTGGAGCATATGACATCTGAAACGCAAGGTTTTCAGTGCATTCATACGCAAGATTAACATCTTACGAAGTGCATGAAACTCAACTTCTATATCGATAAATTAAAACCATGCATCCACGGAGCTCGCAACATGCACTAGTAATGGCAAGCCTATGTTTGTGTGTAGTATTTGTGCAGGGGCGGACTGGGACAAAAATTAAGCCCTGGCACTGTGGCCACACCAGCCCATATTACCACACTGGCACAGCCCCACCCACGGACATGCACATTCACTACTTAAATTGGTGTACAAATGGTGTAACAATATAAGCAATACCATTTTTAATAGATATTTTTGGGTCACCACAGCGAAATAACCACCGACTTATCCAGCATATGTTTTGGGAAACACCCATACACATACATTTACACAATTTTAGCTTACCCAATAACCCCATAGCGCATGCCTTTGGACTGTGAGGGAAACCGAAGCATTCAGAGAAAACCCACGTCAACATGTGGAGAACATGCAAACTTCACACAGAAACACCAACTGACCAAGCTGAGGCTCAAACCAGCGACCTTCTTGCTGTGTGGCGACAGCGCTACCCACTGCGCCACCGCATTGCCCCCTTTTTTTCTGCTTTCTCTGAGCTTTTCTGCACCTCCTTTCCTTTTTTTATGGTCCATCTCTGACAATTAGCTTGTGTTGCACTTACTGTTTGTTTGACATTCTTGCCAGATTTTAATCATGTCCACGTAATCGCAGATTAGATGGCCAATCCACCCTTGTATTTGTGTCTCCTTTCTTAGGGAAATATTTCTATTAGGCCTGGATGATGTGGCCAAAATCTATATTACAATATATTTCTTAATTTTGGCTGATACCAATATAATATTTTAAAAGACTAAAAAAACTGCCAAGACCTTCAATTTAGTCTATACAAATTCTCAAAAACTATTGGCTTAGTCTAGGAAACCTCGTCCTATAAAACTATATAATAATTTAGAAATTAAACAGTACAATAAATTAATGTTCACCTTTGCATTTAGCCTTCATACAAACAAGAAATATGAAATAAACTTAAACAAGCCATGAAATAAACAAACTCACAGACTGACCATTTCTTTACCTTGAATAAACTTCAGGCAGGATAAAGAAGTGCGCTACATGAATAAATGAAGACTAAGCAATAAAATAAGCACATGCTGCATGGACTTCTCTTTTGACACAGCTGGTTTTTGGATTGTGCTGATGTTTCAGATACTACTTGCCTGAAACTTTTATTGTACCTCATCTTCTGACTCAAAAAGTAGAACTACAGACTTCAGTTGCAATCAGTAATGGAAAAGGTTACACACACTGCATTTTGAGCAATGTTTAGTGGATTTTTAAACATTGCTGATTGGCTTTGCTGAGCGCCGGAGCATTTTGGAAACGCTGAAGAGGCCATTTTCATTTCAGTGTGGATGGGGGGAAACAGAGGCATCTGAAATCAGAGGTGTCTTTTTGGTGCTTTTTCCTTATTATTAGGTGCAACCACATATTTTATTTGACCGTCATCTTCACTATGCATATTTATAACAAAACAGAGCCTATAACATAACTGCCTCCTTTTGTTTTCAGTGAAAAATATTTTTTGCTGAATATCTGTTTAAATAATCAATAATGGCCATTATAAAAGTATAACATACAACAGGTTTATACAATATAGGAAATAAAGACAAGCAATTAGTCAAATGTGCAGAATCAGTGTACGTGGTTATATATATTGACTTATCTTTGCGCTCAGCCAAAACCTGTTAACTGAGAACGAGTAATAGATTTAAAAGACTAAAGTAGTATATGAAATGAGTCTGGTTCTCTCAAGGTTTTTTTTCTTCACTCTCCTATTGGTGAAGTTTTTTTTTCCCTCTCCGCTGTCGCCACTGGCTTGCATGGTTCAGGATCTGGAAAGCTACTCATCTATGAATTTGCTCTTCAGTGTTTGGACTCTCAATAATGACTTCAAACCACACTGAACTGAGCTAAACTGAACTGAACTTAAACACTAAAAACTGAACTACCCTGATCCAGTTACTATGACCATTTATGTAAAGCTGCTTTGACACAATCTACATTGTAAAAGCGCTATACAAATAAAGCTGAATTGAAACATTTTATTGAATATGTTGTTAGATATAAACAACAGTTTAAATTAAATATCACGTTTAACAAATATAGTGAGATTAGATCCAGCCGTAGATCCTTGATGAACAGTCTAAAGCCCACAGCCTTCACCTAGTGTTTTGTGCTTAAAGCACTCGCTGACTGCCTGGAGCTCAGACGCGTGCATATGCTGCAGCACATGCAAGTGTGTGTGGTCACATGATGTGCGTTTTCAGTGGTGTAGTGTGGACGGAGATCTGTTCAGATATGCTGGGTGAAACGGCAGTGTGGACGTGGATCGTATTCATTCTAAAGCGCTATATTAAAACTAAAATGTATTGCTGTAGTTAGCTGACTGAAGTTTCTCGGCATCTGCTGCTTTAGCTTACCTGCTTCAAGATTGGATTTTTTTGCACATCCGAATGTCACGTGTGAAGCATCTCTGTGAACCTACAATAGAAAATTGATGAATTGATTAGATCAGATTACATGAATTTTATTTTTCCCCAAGAGAGAATTAAACTCTCCTGGTAACCCAATATATTATAGTCCATATAAATGGGATTTTTATTAAAAAATATGCTTGTATGAAATGACAATATTTATGTATGTAGGTTGATGTATGATGTATGTTTTTCTGAGCTTGTTGCCATGCATACTGGAATTGTCTTCTTCAAGAGGGATTCAGTGCAGTCTTTTGTAATGTTGCTGCCTGTGTTTTGGAAGCGTGCCTATGGTGCCTTAAAATGTTGTCTGGTAGGCGGCTCACTAGCTTTAGAACAGAGCTTTGGTATCATTGTCTCCACTGATTTTTCTTCCAAGTAAATTTGACCAGATTTTAAGCATAAAAGCAGATTTGCTTTCTGGAAGGATTACAGTCTTTTTCTGCATCAAGTAATAGTGATTTTTCAAGTCAAACAAGTGTATATGAAGACAAACGCTAATCCAGACAAAAGACTTATGCTGGGCTCTCACCAAAAGTAAACTAGGTATTTGCATGGATAGATTAAATACAAAGTCAATGCAAACACATGAATAGAGGCAAATTTCTAAAAGGTGGTGTAATTGATGCGTGATGCAACACGTTTAATGCAACACGTTTAATGCTAATGTGCAGAATTTGTCTTAATTGTGCCTCCCTTGGAAGTTCTAGAAATTCAATTTGCGTAAACTAAAAAACATCCTGCGAGTAATCTAGGTCAAGTGATAATCTGCATGTTATCTTTGCATTCAGGTGTGAACCTAGCATTATAAATATGATTTCAATTAATGAAAGTAATTTACTGCACTGTTATTTCCTCTCTCAGGTAACCGGTGGCCTGTCCAGTATCTCTCAGGCCACTCACTCAGCTGCAGGAGCAGTCGTGTCCAAGCCTCGTGAGTTTGCCTCTCTAATTCGCAACAAGTTAGGAAGTACAGAAAACATCCCTGCCCTAAAAGACTCTCTGGATGAACAGCAAGGGGATGATCCAGTATCAAGTACAGGAGTGGCAGGCACTAGGACCCCAGGGCCCGGGCAGCTGCAATCGAGCCCGAAATATGGCAGTGAGGACGACTGCTCCAGCGCTACATCAGGGTCAGCAGGAGCAAACAGCACAACGGGGGCTCCCGGAGGGCCTCCCAGCTCAAAGGGTAACACACTGGAGCATGGCCAGGGCTCTGGCTTCGACACACTGCTGCACGAGATCCAGGAACTGAAGGATAACCAGAGTCGACTAGAAGAATCTTTTGATAACCTGAAGAGTCACTATCAGAGAGACTACACGGATATTATGCAGGCCTTGCAGGAGGAGAGATTCAGGTACAGGTTACTATAGAAACCAATTCTGCTGGCACTGGCAGTTGGTCTGTGTTGGAATGTAGTAGGGCTGCACAATATATCAGTCAGCATCAACATTGTAGGCTTATGACGGTATCATAATGTTCTTGTTGCGATTAATTGCTAAAGATTTTATGACGATATCGACCTATACTACAAAAATGTTTAATTTAACAGTTGTTTTAAAGTTATTAAATTACAAAAAGTCTATACAGTACAGTAGATAACACTTTAAAGTCTCATTAGTAAAATATTAGTTAAAGGTTACATGAAGTAAAATGAATTTTTTTAGATGTTAGTATCAGTATTTTATTTCTTACGATATCTATTAGCTAGTGTGCTTCAAACAGTGTCAAAATTCACATTTAGAAGATATAAAACCGATATAAACATGTAAAGCTTGTTATTTGTCTCTTCCGCCTAAATGGATCAATGGTCTTATTCACATCACCAAAAGGGGGAGAAGCCACACTGTCCCACTGTCTTTTCATGTTGAAATTACATCAAACATCGAATAAAAATTCAGATTTCAAAGCACTTCACAGGACCTTTAATGAATTAAAATTAACTGATCGACAGATTTATTGCAGTTATTATGTTAATGTTAGTTAATAAAAAGAACTAATGAAATGCATTCGTTATTAACTCAGTTTAATTAAATGATTATGCTCTATAATCTGGCTACGACTATGATTTTAATGCATTATTAAGCATTAGTTTTTATCGTGAATTAATTATTGTTGAATATTGGAGCCTTATTGCACAGTGTAAAAGGTTAGTTTACCCAATATAGAACATTTTGTCATTGTACTCATTTACTCACTCTTTGCTTGTTTACTTGTTGAGTTTCTTTCTTCTTTTGAACAAATAGAAAGATATTTATGTGAGAAAGTGTAACACCTGTAACCATTTACTTTGCATAGTTTTTGTTTTCCTATTACGGAAGTCATGATTACCAGTTTTCAACTTTCATTAAAATATCTCTTATTGTTGTGGTAAGATGCTCATCAAGGTTTAAAACCACTTGAGGGCGAGTAAATTAAAATGTTGGGGTGAACTATCCATTTAACGTACAATGGCCTTATAAATAGTCACAGAATTTTCAGTCAATATTTCAGCATGTAGTATGCCTAATTAACATGTGAAATGAATGATTGAAAATAAATAATTATTCACTGTGTTTTGACCTGCTTACAATATCAATTTTGTACGTTTATTATAACAATATATTGAATTGTTGAATATTGGCATACAACATTGTATTATGCACGAGAGTAATGGCAGGATGTACAACCAGGCAACGCAGTTTAAACTCTTGTGGTTTTAAAGGCCTGTGACTGTGTAAACATTTCAACTAAGTTCACACCGTTCAGGCACAAGAAACGATAACGCTTGTAGAACAAAGATGAATTGTATTTTATGAGCACAGAGACTACACAGGATTTGACTTTTGGTTATTTAATCTTTCTATCTGAATACAGTTACAGGACATTCACACAGAATGCTTTTTTTCATTTCAGTGTTCTACTTCTATATAGATTTCTTTATGTAAAGACATGCTTCGCTTAATGGGCATGCATGATCGTCTTTTGCCGTGCCACACACATTAGCGCCAAAGTTTTAAGAGGCTGTGTCGAGTTGTAAAGCTGTGTGAAGAATTAAAGTAAACAAATTTCAGCTTTTACATGCAGCACCACTCATCAATGTCAGTTCCTAACCAGTCTACCAATTACAAGAGTTCAGAGTCGGAGCTAGCATTACAAGCTTTGTTTACAGTAGCAAATTGAAACTCTTATTTTACAGCAACATGGTGGCGGAGGCACTGCATCACTTCTGTGTGAATGGCTACTTAGAATAAGTAAACTGTTTTTTTAGAATAAAACTGTTTTTTCATTTATTTATTTACTTATGACACATTTTTATGTTGGTTCTAACTCTTGGAATTTATAATTAATCATTTATTTCTTCTAAAACACATTTTTATCTTTGCTCTATTATATTTATCTGTGCTTGTTAATTAAAATTTATTTATTTATTGTAAAAACATTTTTATCAAAGTTCTACTCTATGCTTGTAATTTTGTTTAATATATTTATTTCACTCTTTTAAAAATAATTATCTAAATAAATAAAAATATCTGAAAAAAATGTTTTATTTATATATTAGTTCTAGATGGACAGATAGTTGGATATGCATGCAAAATATCGCAGGTTTTAGTTCAGTGTGCATGCTTAGAAGCAGACAGAAAGGATGGTGTTTGAGCCTTTCAAGGTTCTCTTTTTTTGTTGTTGTTTTATCTTATCTAGTTTTTGTATGTTCACATTGTAGGTGTGAGCGTCTGGAGGAGCAGTTGAATGATTTAACAGAACTGCATCAAAATGAGATTCTCAACTTGAAGCAAGAGCTTGCCAGCATGGAGGAGAAGATCGCTTACCAGTCTTATGAACGAGCTAGAGACATACAGGTACATGCAGGTTATACAAACATATTTCATATTTAGTATTCATGCCCTCTTGTCAATTTATTATAATGTTTTTTTTCTCGAATTTAATTTAGGAAGCTAAGTCAGCGCTTATGAAAATGTATTATTTTATAAATGTTCATCTTTATTTAATTAATAAATATAAACACAAATATAAAAATGATTTAATTGTTTAGGAATAACAAATAATAACACTGTTCAACACACACATTCAAAATGGACTATAAATATATTTATGGGAAAATAAATAAAGTTTTTGGGTAATATTTCCCAATTTACTTAGGAAGATTTTAGGGAATACATTTGCATTCTGAACATTCCTGTTTAATGATTTTCCCCTATTAATTAGTTATATTATTTAACATATTATCTATTTTCATTTTGTTTTTAATGATATTAATCTATCATCATTTATGTGGAATTGTTGTGTGAATATCAATACAAATAATACATACTTGGTTATTATAGTTATTGTCCTTGTCCTAACATAACTTCATCCTTTGTTTTTTCATTAGTCCTATGTGATTTACCAGTACCAAGTAGCTTTTAAGTGAAACTGGAGAATGCTAATGCTGAGATTTCAGATGGTAAACAACATTAGCTGTTATTATTAAGCTGTTTTGTATTGATCTGATGGGCAACTTTTAGTCTTCTAATTAAGTTTTGAAATCCATATATGACTCACTTATATTTAATGTTACATTACAGCTAAAATGTACATGTTCTGCCCTGTTACCCTTTACTAGCATTCAAGTCTTGCATTAACTTTAATGGAAGTTGTGTATTAGCCATTCGTGTATGATTTCTGCATTTCGCCCTATAGTTGCAATCATTCGTGAAGCAGCCATTACCATTTAAGAGGATGGAAAAATGCCATGGAAAAATGAATGAATAATGAATGTAAAAATTCATCTACACAAAACAAACGGTCACCACTACATCTGAAAGAAAAACATCTCCTCAGGCTGTTCAAAGTAAATCATTACATAACAATTCTAAAATGTTTCTTTTAGGCATGATTCATACCTGTCTATTTTCAGTTTTTTAAAACATTTTGGTGGTCACTTGTGCTCCGTGTTATTCATTGGTATTTTAGTATCTTTTTCGAATAGTATGATCTGAACTCCTTGCAGCCTCCTTTACCACTCGTTATTTTTTTTTTTAAATGACCCGTGGCATGTTGCTTGTCATATCTTGTAAAAATGGCTTTAGCATAAACCGTAAATGAGATCTCCACTTTTTTCCATGTTAAAGATAAAGCCAAAACGTTTGAGGTCATTTGATGGCGATGACTTGATTTGAGGTGGATCTGCATATCAAAATTTGGCCAAAACTCCCACAGACCCAATACATGATGTACATAATCAAAGGTCTTTGCACACCAAGCTCGAAATGTCAGTATTTTCCATATTTGTTATCTTAAGAATTTGTTTTTCGTAGACCTACATCAACATAATAAGAACCACCTTAACCCTTGTGTGCTGTTGGGGATGTTTACATCCACTCTGGGGTGATTTTGAGTCTGAATTTGGCCACAACTTTATCTGTGTTTCAGTAAATAGAATGATTTTTGATGACAAATGTTATTTTGACACATATTTTGAGGAAAATGCTTTGAAATTTTTTTTAATTCAACAATACACTCTGGGCAAATTTACTACCCTTTCGTTGTGACTTGCATTATAATTTTTTGAATTTCAACAGATTACACAATTTTACCTCTAAAATTAAATGGTATAAAAATGACACATTTTACCTCTTCCCCTCACCAACAATCAAGAATGCTACGTTCTAAAAATAGCCCCCAATATTGAAATATGCTAAGTAGTCTCGCACCTCACTATACACTTTTCTCAGACAGGCATTAACATTCTCACACATTTCTCTCTTGTTTAAAACTCTTAAAGTTCAAACCTTTTGTAGAAAAAATAAATCTAGTATTATGGAATGAAACCAAAAAATAAAACCATTTGATCTTCATTTATTTTTTCCATAATGCCGCCCTACATCCGCATAACTTCTACCTTCCTTTAGCAAGTCCAGAAGTTCAACTTTTTGTGCGATGGTTAGCATCTTCCACTGTCTTTTGGGTGCTACCTCAGGTGCCTTTGACGGTGCAGAACATTTTGTCGACATGGTGAGGAGAAAACTTGCAAACATCCAGTATAGCCTTGCAGAGTCACACTGCTAGAGATCAAAGATTTTTTTGTATATTTGGCAAGCTGAACACATTCTGTACTGCACGGAGGAGATTGATTGACTGTGGTCTACAGCCAATCAGGATGCAGAACACAATTTGTTAATCAGGACACAAAAGACAATGCGCTGTAGGAAAAAACATGTCAAATTGCACTAAAAACATTTGCAAAACTGTGAGGCCGTAAAAAGTAAACCGCGTTATAGTTAGGAATTAAAGTCAATGGCGCAAAAGCAGTCACAAACAAATAGAAAGGGTAGTCAATTTGAACAGTACACAAGGGATAAATAGAAGTAGTTTTTAACCATCTTTTGAAAAGAGTTTTGGTTTGGCTTGCATCTCTTTTGTTGACATGTAGAGGGCTGGGTTTGTGACCTGTACCACGTCCAGCCACCAGGAGGCGCACAAAATATTTTGGTTTCACATTTCAGGACAGGTGTAGCACGTTCAGGTTTTGCTCACCACCCTTTTCTCACTCTGCTTTCTGCAGGAGGCACTGGAGGCCTGTCAAACGCGCATCTCTAAGATGGAGCTTCAACAGCAGCAGCAACAGGTGGTTCAGTTGGAGGGTTTGGAAAACGCCACTGCACGCACTTTACTCGGCAAACTCATCAACGTGCTGCTGGCCGTCATGGCGGTCCTCCTAGTGTTCGTCTCGACGGTCGCAAACTGTGTAGTTCCACTGATGAAAACACGCAGCCGCACGCTTTCCACATTGCTCCTTGTTCTAGTGTTGGCTTTTCTGTGGCGGAATTGGGAAGCCATGTCGCAGTATGTTGACCGATTTTTGCTGCACCCTAGATGACCTGCAGGGGCGCTGCTGTTGCTATGGTTTTATGAAGGGACTAGAGGGCGGAGACTTTGAATCAAAGATGAAGACTAACACTGCCTCAGTTGCACTTAGTACAGAGGGATGCGGCACAAGAGTGGCAGACACAGACAAAATCTTACAACCTCTTTCTCTTTTTTTTTTCACTGAAGGAGTGAGTTTGTTTACATTTTGAAGATCCTTTTTTCTCCCGTCAACATGAATTGCATTGCTGAGTTTCCGTTTATTTGTTGTTGGAAATGATGCAAGTCATGTCGTTCATTGTTTTCGTAACTATTGTTAGGATATACATTTATGCAATTTCCTGAGTCTTGTTTTGAATTGACTGGAGTGGTTTTAACATGCACTGGATGGAGATCTCTCTCCACGTTTTTAATACCATATTAACTGCTCTTTTCCCTCCTAACTTTAAGCCGTTTCTTTAATTTCTCTCCGTCGTCTCGCTCTTCCTCTTAAGTGCTTAACTTCAATTAATTTCCTGTGCTCATGGCTTCACTCTTCCTACTCAAAACCGTTTGCTGCTGTTTGGACTTCAATGCAGTTGTTGCTGAATGAAGGATTGGATGGATTCTGTTGGAGAAGAGGCGTCTGGAGTTGGGTTGAATAGGCCGAGGACCTGAAACACTCTTAAGCTGAGTCGGCCCCACTTCATCTCCGGCCCTGTGCCCTCAGAGAGGCACAGTCCCTGGGCATACGAACAGAATGAACATACTTGAAGAGCTAGAAATGCTCAATGACTCTCAGTGCTTCCGTACTGTTTCTTATAGCGACAATGAAATAGTCCTTTTTAGTTTTATTTTTTATTTTTTAAAATGAAATTAATAAATGCTGTTTTAAAAATGCACCGCTGTGTGATTGAATATTTGTGCTCATGTGTAGTCATCCTGCACTGAGATTGCAGATTCATGCATCTCATAATTAACCTCTTTTTGCTTTCAGGAAGGGTGGCGCAGTGGGTAGCGCTGTCACCTCATAGCAAGAAGGTTGCTGTTTCGAGCCTCGGCTGGGTCAGTTGGCATTTCTGTGTGGAGTTTGCATGTTCTATCGATGTTTGCGTGGGTTTTCCTCCAGTTGCTACGGTTTCCCCCACAGTTCAAAGATATGCGCTTAAGGTGAATTGAGTAAGCTAAATTGTTCGTAGTGTATGTGTGTGAATGAGAGTGTATCGGTGTTTACTAGTAATGGGTTGCAGCTGGAAGAGCATCCTCTGTGTAAAACCTGTGCTAGATAAGTTGGCGGTTCATTCCACTGTGGCGACTACAGATTAATAAAGGGACTAAGCCCTTTATTGAATGAAACGAATGATTTCAGCGATGATTGACCAGTGCTGGGGCTTTTTCTTATATCAAAGATCCATTGGAATGTGCTTTTATTTTATTCAATGTTTTAAATAATCTTAACCGAAACATGAAGAGCGGGTTATGTTGTGTGTGCATTTATATTGCGCATTTATTGTGTATGGCCATACACCCAAAGTGCTTCACAATCTGGGATGTCTCCCCACTCCACCACCAGTGTGCAGCATCCACTTGGATGATGCGACTGCAGCCACAGGACAACAGCGCCAGTGCGCTCACCACACACAAGATATAGGAGGAGTGGAGAGACAGTGATAGAGGCAATGTGGTGGATGGGGATGATTAGGAGGTCATGATGCGTAAGGACCAGGACACCGGGGTTACACCCCTACTCTTTACAAGAAGTGCCATAGGATTTTAAATGACCACAGAGAATCAGGACCTCAGTTTAACGTCTCATCCGAAAGACGGGTGGGACAAAGTAGCCCCTCCCCTTTTTAAAAAAAGCTAATAGGATTTTGATTTATCGCCGCTCCGCCAGTGAGAGTAATTGAGCTCAAGTGCATCAAACGCCTTGAAGGGAGCGGGGCATGTCATACTAGACAGCATTTGATTGGTTATGATGATGTGATGGGAAACTGTAGTGTGAGGTGACGTGAACAATAACATTGATCTATTTAGGCGGAAGTGACAAACTACAAGCTTTACTTGTTTATTTCAGTGTTATATATCTTTAAGCTTCTGTTTTGGAGCGCACTAGCATCTAAAAATCTTTATTTTCATTTAACAAGACCTTTAATTTCTTGACATAATGATTCAACAATTCGTGATGGCAAAAAAAAAATCTCCCTACTTCACATTTTGCTGGTTTGAAAGTCTGTAAACTGATTATGTAAATCACATTTTGATGAGAAATTGAAAATGATGGGGCGACCCGGTGGCTCAGTGGTTAGCACTGTCGCCTCACAGCAAGAAGGCTCCTGGTTCCAGCTGGGTCAGTTGGTGTTTCTGTGTGGAGTTTGCATGTTCTCCCCGTGTTGTTGTGGGTTTTCTGTGGGTGCTCCAGTTTCTCCCACACTTCAAAGTGCACTATGCACTGTAGGTGAATTAAATAAATTCACAGTGTGTGAATGAGTGTATGGATGTTTCCCAGTACTGGGTTGCAGCTGGAAGGGCATCTGCTGTGTAAAACATATGTTGGATAAGTTGGCTGGTCATTCCACGGTGGTGACCCCTAATGAATGGATGGATTAAGCCGAAAGAAAAATGAATGGAAAGGATGCTCATATTTCCACTTTCTTTCATCAAATCAAAGAAAATCATCTGCTGTTATTAAAATCAATCCACATTATAGCTTAAGTCATGAAATGCTTCATTTGTAAAATCCTAGTTTGTCGAACTGACCAAGTTCGTAGCCATTAATATTAATAGTACGAGAAAACCGGCTGATTTTATGCTATCTCTCGCTATTAGTAGACTTCCGGGTTTGAACAGGTTGTGACGTGGCAAAATCTTTAAAGTACTTCCACGACGCGTCAGTGTCTCATAATTATTCATGACACTTCGCGTTCTCCTCCTATGAGAAGACGCTGCTGTTTATGAATTATTCATGACAGCACATGGCGCTTTTTCACAACAGACGACGGGTCAGACTGTTGATGAGAGACGCGTTCATGGGCCGCAGGTGTGTGTATCCGTGGTGTAAAGACTCTGGCATATTTCATAGCTTCCCCCGCGATGCTGATAGAGCTAAACTCTGGCTGCAGGCAATCGGTTGGCCATCAAACACAGACTCGTCTAAAATGTATTTGTGCAGCAAGCACTTCTCTCCGCAGAGCTACGAGAACTGGAAAATGGTGGAGTTCGGCATAGCCCAAGCAAGCAGTTTGCGTCTAAGCAAGGATGCTGTGCCGATTCGCGAAGACTTTCACATCACTTCAAAAAAAGTACGTGTTTAATTTCTAACCACACCACTTTTGCTTGCGGTTGTCACAGTTATACACGCGTTGTATTGATTTTTAGTTCCTCGGATGATAGCCGAGTTGCACGTTTGTTTATTTCGTGTACACCGTTAATTTGCATCGGTCACAGTATTAGCTTGAGGCGCCACCTGTTGGACGGGATGTTACGTAATTAGTGAGCTTTTGTTGTTTAAGTCGTTTATTCATCTAGAACAGGGGTGCCCAAAGCTTTTCTTATGAAGGGCCAACAAGCAAACATAATTGAGGGCTGTTGGTGTAAGGTAAATATAGCAAACTATTACAAAGTTTTCATGTGTAATTTCCCATTTTTTTTCACTTTAACTACCTGCTCTACCAAATAGTTGACTATATTTTGACTTTTAAATAATGACTATTGAAGTCATTTAAAGAGACTGTTTGAAATCACATCAAAAATAAGATGATTTAGTGTTTAAAATCTTTATATATATATATATATATATATATATATATATATATATATATATATATATATATATATATATATAAATATATATATATATTATGTTTTAAATTTTGTTTTACACCTCGTATTTTCAGATTTTTCATAGTATATGTATGAATTCTGGTACTTTTACCATAAACCGACTAATGAACCATTTGGTGGAGGATGGTATTTTAGAAATTATGAGATGTGAAGAGTGTTAACTAGTGACATTGGAAGTTAAGAAAAGAAATTCCCCAAAACATTTCTTGGTGGGGCAGTTAAAGGGCTAAAAAAATATTTAAAAATATACAGAAAGCATGACTTTAATCATGTTAGGTTAACTATTGGGTTATTATTTTGTAAACTTTATCATTAACTTGTTACAATGGAAACAAACAATTCCATTTATAATACAATGAGGTTCAATGCACTTAAGTTAATCCGATCCATTCGCAAAATTGAAATATTTAATTCAACCTTGATTTTTTTGTAGCTCAACAATTAAACAAACAAGCAAAAGATTGCTTTAAATTTGAAAAGACTATCTCTTTTAAAGGCAACCTTCCTCCTGACCCTCCCCTTCATTTTTATTGCAGATGGCGGGCCAAATCAAAGGTAATCATGCCCTTTGGCCTGTGGGCCCTAGTTTAGTCATCTCAGGTCTAGAAAAACTGGATTTAGATATTTCCCGTACAATGTTGTGGTTTAAATCTTAATTAAAGGTGTAGTAGGTGATTGTCTTCAGAAACGTTTTTGTTGTGCTAGTTGAAAATCTCTTCACATTCCAATAGTAATCATTACAGTAAATGATCTTAATATATTTATATGTATTTTTATATTCTGGTTGAGACATATGACTAAAAAACGTTCATCTAGTTAAAATTGTCAGGCCGACAATTCCCATAATTCTGATAAGTAGCCCAAACGCAACCATTCACGCAGATCCGTTGTTTGCGCGTACACGTACATTCACTTGCACACAAGAGAGAGACAACAGTAAAAACACACACAAAAAAACGTACTGAATCAAAACTTTTAAACAGCCTGAATCAATATTGGAGTTAGTTTTGCACACTAGAGGAAGAATGACACCATGGCTGAAGTATTTCTTTTAGACGGGTAGTTTTATGTGTTAAAAAATATTTTAGTCACGCAAAGCTGATGTAGATTTTGGTGTTACGAATGGGTTATATGCACACAAGTGTTGTTCAGCCACGGAAATCTCCCGGTATAAGCTTGATGTGACTATTTTCAGTTTCATAAGGTCCTTTTACAGCATCAGTAATGTAGATAACCCGTACCGGGTTGAAGACATCGCATGTCAGACTTGTATGAAAGCTCGCTGCACATGTTCTGTCAAGTTGTGTTGTAATGTTTTGTGATTTCTGGATGTAGTATCTTATTTTTAAACCTTATAGTTAAGCGCGAAAAACGACCAATATTATTTATTTACACAGGTTACACTCTGTTGGTCCTGTAAAATCATAGGTAATGTTGATTTACATGTTTATTTATTTACTCCTTTGTTCTCTAAAGAACTTCTGTCACATCAGCAGCTGACGGTAATATAATATTGGTAATTAACACACAATATGAAACGTCACCCTGAGTTGCTTCTCAAATCTCTCTCAGTTTAGAATTTATAATTGTCTCTTGCATGCTGACCAGCTGTCTATATATAAAGAAGAACATTAAAAAGTTCATTCACTTAAAGGCGAGACACCACAGGAAAAAACAGTTTTATTATTATTTGTTTGTATTTTAGCGGTCAATTCTGACTTTCATGCATTCATTTTCCTTCAGCTTAGTCTCTAATTTATCAGAGGTTGCAACAGTGGAATGAACTGCCCAATTAAGAAATTTCGTCTAAATTTTGACCTCTGTTATTTTTAATCTAATGGAAGGACAACAGCAGGGTTTCTTGCTGTATTTCATATGTTGGTATTTGCAGATTTAATTACAATATTCTGCGATATGTTTCAATATGATTTGCTTTATTATATACAACACTTTATTCTACAAACATTTTGTGATATATATATATATATATATATATATATATATATATATATATATATATATATTTTTTTTTTTTTTTTTTTTTGTGGACTGATAAAAAGAGATTCAAAAAAAGAATATTCAGTAAAAGCATTGGTCTAGACTAAACTGTAAAAAAAAAAAAAAACAAAACTTTTTTTCATCCAATGTTCAGATTTTAATGCTGAAAGTGTATGCAAATGAGTTTTAAGCCTCATTTGCATATTTTAGAAAATGTGTTATAAAAAAAAAAGATGTTTGGAATTGTTATTGCAACCAAGAAACTAACTAATTAGCCAAGACAGACACACAGAGGTTTTGATTTAATAAACATCCATTTTATTTGTGCAGCAACTTCAGCTTTTCTAAAATTTGCTCAAACAGCAATTTGTAACGTCATCATCATCTGATATAATATTCGATTGCATTATTTGGAATAACAGACTTGTTTTCCCATATTAAAATGAACTATAGGTGTATTGTGTGTGTATATAGTAAATTGTAGTAATAACTGCAATTATTGTATAACCGTTACCGCAGTTTTACACTATTGTTAGTCTATCAAAAATCATAGTGAGCTTGTGGTAACTACAATAGTCATGTTGTGTATTTGCAGTAAAAGCATGGTTATTTTTAGTAAGGTTGTATACGGAAGGAAAAGTAAATCACACTTGGTGATTTCCTCAGGATTTCTTTTATATAAAAAGCGTGACACTATAGAAATTGGCACATATTTTTAGCAATGACATGATAAATACAGCAACAACAAACAGTATAAAAACCTAAACTCATACTTCCAGATATGCAACATAAATGTCCACATTGCCTCTTATTAATATTCATGATGTAGATGCAAAAGAACTAAAGTTATTCTATATGCTCGTATGACGTACATATCAAATCCAGACAGGAAAAGTGTCCATTAATCCATTGATCATTTCCCAAACACACTTCCAGATGGAGGTTTGGGTTTCTCAATCACTGTCTCATTTCCAGAACGCACTCCGCTGAAAACAGATGGTGCCACCTTCCCCATTCGCTCTACACAACAGACAAAAGCAGAACACTTTGCTAAACATGTTATGAGGTTGTGCATATAATACTGTTTTAAGGCATTCACTAAAATTCTTTTGTTACAATAGTTTATATAAAGTTTTTATTTTATTTATTTTTTTTTTAGATTAAACATTTTTGAAGACTGATTGCTTTGTTTTACCATTTACTCACACTGAAATGGTTCTGAACTTTTTTGAACACAAAACAAGACATTGCGAAGAAGTTTGTGTGTGGGGGGGTGAACAAAACACTATAATAAGGTTTTTCCAACATTCTTCAGTATCTTCCTTTGTATGGAACAGATGAAAAAAAAAAAACGGGTTTGGATCAGATACGCGAGCTGTCACTGGGGAGGTATCTTTTCAAAAGGTAAACATTTGTACCTTAAAGGTCCATATTAATATATCAAGGGTACATAGTAGTACCTTAAAAGTACAAAAGTGTTCCTCTTAATTTTCAGGTACTAATATATACATTTGAGGTACCAATATGGACCCTTTAAGGACAAATGTGTACCTTTTGAAAAGGTACCACTCCAGTGACAGCTCTCATTCAATTATCCAGCACGTTTTTATGCAGCGGATTCTCTTCCAGCCGCAACCCATGTACGGGAAACACACACACACACACAACGGACAATTTAGCCTACCCAATTCACCTGTACGGCATGTCTTTGGACTGTGGGGGAAACCGGAGCACCCGGAGGAAACCCATGTGAACGCAGGGAGAACATGCAAACTCCACACAGAAATGTCAACTGAGCCAAGGTTCGAACCAGCAACTCAGCGACCTTCTTGCTGTGAGGCGACAGCACTACCTACTGCGCGACTGCGTCACCCAGTGACAGCTCTCGTACCTTTTATTTTTAAAAGTGGATGATTACCTTGGATAATAATATCACAGTTTCACAATATTGTGATTACTGCTTAAAATGTTTTATTTTAAATAACTTGGTAAAAACAAGAACTTTTTTCTGCTTTGAATATAATGTCTGCCTCCGAAATCACATACTTCTATATTATATAGTACACTAAAAACAGTATTCGAGATAAGTAATATATCCAAATTCATAGATTTCGAAAAACAGAACACGAGAAGTACCCGGATGTCTTTTTTTTTCGAGATTCTGAAGTGTTTATCTGATGGATGCTATGCTGTCCTGTTATGCACCATGAGAGAATTTATGAATGGGTGTGAAGCGGGTGTCACATGATCATGATAAAATGGCGAATGCAGTACGTCTGAGCATCAGCCACACTACCCGCATTTATACTGTATAGAACGTACTTTTCTATTGGTCGAGTAGTAAATTGAAATGCAGTACCTACTGAGTAATAGGTGATTTTGAACGCAGCTAATGTATTTTATTTTGAGAAACTTTTTAAATATTTTGGAACAGTAAACATGTCAGGCTAAATAATCAATCAGTCATTGACTTCTGCTGTCTTCTTTTGTTTCAAAAACACATTTTTTTACAATTTAAAACTGCATCTTTGGAAATCTGTTTTGCTGGAGATACTGTTGTACTAAAAAACAACAAAAAAATTTTTTTTCATTAATCATAGAAATGATATAACTGAAAATTTTGCCAGTTTTAAAACCATGACACGGTTATCACCCCATGCTTAGTAGACCCATTTTGAAAATGAGTTTTTTTTCCCATTTCTTCATTTTCCATTTCTTTTCATATAGCTCATATAATTTGGTGCATTTTAACAAAACAGATTTATTAAACAAATATGTATTTTATCTACTAATCATCTTTAGAAACAGAAAAATATTGTATTTAAATTCAAGCAAAATATTGCAATTGTGACTAGATGTATTATTTTTTGTTTATCAATTTACCCTCTTTTTATTCAATATTTCCCACCAACATATATATTTTATACAAAAATGCTATTATTATTATTTACTATTATCATAAGTTATTTTGTTAGATTAGTTCCAGATTTAGCTTCAGCACTGACTAAACTATTGTATATGCACAAATATAATATTGTGTAGCATCTTATAGAAAACATTCATTTAAAAGAGGTATTTTTGGGGTGTACTCGTACATGCTGAGCACTGTTTAGGTTTAAGCCTTTTATTTTATTATCAGGTCAGAATAAGTGTTTGATTTTTTTTTTTTTTTTACATGAATATATCTGTCAGACTGAATTGCAATGGAACATTATTTCAACATTTTCAAATCTACACTTTCATTTAATAAATTATGTGTACAGCAAAATTAGATGTCTCAACTTTGACCATTACTATTATTACATGAATGAAGACCAACTCACCACACTCTGCCATCACTTCATATGTTTTGCTCTTGACCTCTCCCTTTAGCCCCAATTTACTGCGGGCTCCTTTCAGGTCCTCCTCTTTTACAACCGGCCGCTTCTTTTTCTTAACCTCCAGCTGTTGAAAATACCATTTCAGAAATTAATCATACATAATTTCATCTCTTATCCATCACACCGCATATAACCACATCTTCATACCTGTGACATTTTGGCTGAGTTGACTCCTTGCGTACTTTACTTTTGGACTGGGCTCTTTTATAGGCTACCCTTGTTACCGGTTCAGGCCGTCCCCCTTCTCCCTTATCATTATATATTATTAGCTCTGCTGTCAGGGTCAGAAAGCCTCTTTCTCGGCATGACCACTATGAACAGCTGAACACATTACAGACAAAACATCCTACTCCAGATTCACCCATGCATCATATGCTTAAATATATTGTGTTGCTATAAGGGTGTTTTTGTGTAGATTATGCTGATATCGTATGCGTTAATCTAAACCAGGGTTTAATCTTCTAACAATAATCAATAATTCCAACAATAATAATGCATAACAATAATTCATTATAACAGAGACCAATAGATAGGATAAAAACAAAGTTGTTTGTGACTAATGTGCATAATGACGGGGATGTTAACATGCCACACAGATTATATAACTAAATCACTTTGACTTTTCTGGGGCGGTGAGTCAGGCTTTGTGAATGAGTCGACATGTGTGCACTAATAAAAATAGACACAGAGAAACGGTTTTGACTTCAGTCGGTGTGATTGTCCACCACTTTTGTTTTTCTGATACTCGTTATTTGATCCTTATACAGAACAAAAACTAAATTATATTATTGCAATTAAAATTTTATTTGACTATTTTATAATGTCATTTATTTCTGGAATTCAAAACTGAATTATCAGCATCTGTTTCTCTGGTCTGCACGCAATCTTTTAGAAATCATTGAAAAACATTCAAGATTATTATTACTATTAGTAGTATTATTATTATTATTATTATTAATAATAATAATATTTTTATTTTTTCATTTTATGTATATGGAACATTCTACCATGTACATGATCTGTACCTGCAATAAATACAGTGGAAATAAGTTTTGCATCCCAAAAATGTCTAAAATGGACTGATGGTTGATTTTCTGTGAGTTGTTCTGTTTAGAAATGGGTCATTCATTTGGTTCTCAGAGTGTTTTCTTTATTAAAACTGTACAAATATACAAACCCTGTCATTGTTCTTGTCCTCAGCCCAATCGAACCTACAGCTTTAATATTTTTGTTAAGCTGAAAACTGTTATTTAGAAAAAATAAACTTCAGATCAATTTATTAAAAACATGAAATCATAAATAAATTCTACAAATAAATGTTACAAATACGTAATACTAAAAAAATTACAACTGTCCCTATGTTTCTGTCAGTCCTGTCACATTTGGATTAAATTTAACACAAAAATGTGTGCAATACACCTTTAAGGCTGTCTCCCAAAGTGATATCAATTGATGGAGAAGCTGACAGTGATCAAGCATGCGTTCTATCATTTGATTGTATGATTTTTATGCTTGGTTTTGTATGATTTTTTTGAGGAAGACGAGCTTAAAGATTTGATGTTACTTACTGCTAGTGTGATGCTACACTGCTTTTTATAGAAAATACCTATGAGCCAGCACAAGATGTCAGCACATGTTATGATTGGTAATATCAGCTGTTAGTATCTGTATAATGCTGATAAATAAATGAAATGTATATTTTTATGTGCTTTTGCTGTGATAAAATGCCCAAGTTGAGTGAATGTGATTTATCTTTGAGCTTGCCTTTTTCTAAAAAATATTAATTAAATTGAAAAACAAAGTCTAAAAATTTTAGAAATATATTGTGGACAAATTACCTTAGATTATATTAATACTAAATTAAATGTAAAACTTAATAGAAGGCATGGGACGATCACCGTTTTCAAGGTATACCGCGGTTGGACAAGGTCTAGCTTTTAAAACGATATTCTTATTCTGCTACACCGTTCCTAAGGTATATGTAAGATTGTTTATTTATTTATGTATGTATTTATATATATATATATATATATATATATATATATATATATATATATATATATATATATATATATTGTTTGTTTTTGTTTGCTTGTTTTTGTTTTAGGACAACAGTATCTCCAGCAGAAACAGATATGTAAAGATGCTGTTTTAAATTGTAAAGAAATCTGTGTTTTTGAAACTAATAAAGAGAGCAGATGTAAATAATTGATTTGCATTATTTAGCCTGACATGTTTACTGCTCCAAAATATTTTTAATGTTTCTCAAAATAAATTACATTTTGATCAAAGCAAAAAAAAGTTTTTGTTTTTACCCAGACATTTAAAAAAGATATATATTTCAGAGAAGTACTCGCTGTAAAACCCTGATATTTTTATCCAAGGTTATCATACCATCATAATCTTGTCACAAATGGGCTTAAGATTTAACCTTAAGTTGCTAAATGTTGCCAAAAAATCTACATTTGTTTATAGTTGTTTTTATTTTAAAAAGTAGCTTGAATAGTCTAAAAAGTTGCTAAATCTAGTGCTGATAAATATTAGGAGTCCTGATTATGTCTTCAGGACTGTTGTGTATCTTTCCCTGATGCTTCATGTAACACTGTTTTAACAGTTTAATAATGCATGGGGTGCAAAGTAACCATCATATTGAATTGAACAAAAAATGCTTTGTCTGTCGATTGTTTACAAAAGCTCCAGAGAGACGCTTTCTGCTTCTGTGAAGTGACTGTTTACAAAACTCGATATGAAGTCAGAACAGCTCTTCTGTGCTTCCCCACGGAAGGACCGCTTTCTTAGTTCCTATAACTATTTGCGGAAGTAGCCGCTTTTTATGCCTTTGTACCGAACAACAGCAGCTGGGAACGATTTTAGTTATAGGAACGCAGTTTAGGGGACTTCAAAGTAGATGCTCCAGGAACTACCAGTGACGTAAGTGTGCAGGGATTGGCCAAACTCGCGTTATACGAAACACCGGCACCCACCATTTTTAAAGAGCCGTGTAAAACACTTCAGCAGCTCCACGAATATGGAAAACAGTGATCGATGGACCGACGGAGAGGTCCAGGCGCTTCTCAACTTCTACGCCAGAGAGGAAATGCAGCGCGACTTTGAGGGGAATAAAAGAAACACCAAGATCTTTGCGTGCATCTCTGCTCAGCTCGCGGCGCTGGGCATCAACCACACGGCGAAGCAGTGCCGAGAAAAAATTAAGAAACTCAAGCAGGACTACAAGCGAATTAAAGATTACAACAATCAGAGCGGATTGGAACCTAAAACTAGCAAATGGTACCAGCTACTTGATGCCATCCTTGGCCACAGACCGGCTTATGCGGGCACCAGAGACTCTGCTGTGGGGCTCTTGGACACCATGAGCCCGGAGAGCTTCAGTTTACCTGCCGAACTCAAAGCCGAAGGTTAGTGATAGCTGTGTACATAACGGTGTGTAGTTAGGATTTTGACGTTCATTATGGCTCGATAGAAGAGCATTGTTTGTTTAACGTGTGGTTAGTGTAGCCCAAGCTAATCCTCAAGTAAAGAGAAATAAACATTACTGCTTAAAGCTAGAAATAAACTGTTATTTTGTTCTGAAAGTAACTGATGTGAACACAAACTGAAGTAATAGTCAAATGGTAAATCTTTTTATATAGAAAGTAAATTTACTATATAGGGCCACTTAACATATACTTGAGCAGTGGTTTCTAAAATATCTTGTTTTATTTTGAAGACACTTCACCAGAGTGCTCTCTGATGGCTGAGGAACATTTGATTGCAGATGCCCATATGATCAGTACCACCACATACAGCACCCCCAGCTGCCCGAGCTCTCCTCCATCTGTCAGACCAGGTAACAGAAAATATTTTATGTTAACATTAAATTAATTTCATCTTTATTCCTATAGCACTTTTGCAATGTAGATTAAAAGTATGTAGACTTTTACAATGTAGATTCTACAATGTAGTGTCAAAGCAGCTTAACAAAGAAGTTCCAGTAAATTGAAACCATGTCAGTGCAGTTTTCAGAGTCCAGTTCTGTGTGGTTTATTTTTTTACATTTACATTAATTTTTTTACATGCATAAATGTTTGTGTGGAAACGATCAAGACACCACCTAAAAATTCCCAGTTTTTCTGGATGTGTGTTTGAGTGAAATATTGATTATATGTCTTATTCTATGAAGTTCTGATAACATTTCTTCTTATTTTGAAGTACACATCATTTATTTAGAGTTTTGTTAGACAGAAAACGATAATTGGTCAAAATAACAAATGCTTTTGTTTTTGTCTGGGTTATTCCATCAAGTGAAGTTTATTTATAAACTAATTTCAAGAGGATCACATACCTATGATTGACCACAGCTGGTCCCGCATTAGCTATCATATGAATTACCAATCAGACGAATCCAAATGCACATAAATAACCAGTTTTTACATTGGTCATCTTCGCCCTGTAGAGTCCCCCCCCCCATCCATCTCTTCTTCTCCCCCTCTTTTTCTAGATTAATCCAGGAGAGGGTGGCACCGATTTGGCACCCTAGGCAATATTTCAGGTGGCGCCCTGTCACATTAAAAAATATGTAAAAAATATGGTACAACAAATAGCTTCAAATGATAGAATAGATAGCAAACATTAGAAATTATTGACAATAAAATAAAAGGTTTAGCCTATTAAAATGAATGGCCTATCCAGAAAATAAATAAAGCTATAAAATCTCTTTCACTTTTAATTCTATTTGAATATTGATTAAAGTTACTGTAGTTATTTAGTGAAGAGCAGGAAATGAATCTCTCATTGTGTTTGTTTGATAACAGAGGGGTTAATGTAAGAATGCACAGATCTATAATGAAAACATCCGACTAATTTAGTAAGTGTTTGTGCTCATTTAAGAGAAAATGAGTTGTGTTTAAAATAAAACACGCAGGACGGAGAAAAAAAAGACGAAAAAAATAAGCACTTTTCCGACGGTCCCTTACTGAGAGCTTCTCTCAGCGCGAGCTCTCCCGGCAAAACGCATATTGCGAGGGCAGTGGTCGTGATGCCGGGCAAAACTAGAAATAGACAGCTGTGAAACATAACCAGCTTTGTCTTTTTGTAGGAAACACACTTTAGATGTTTTTAGGGTAAGAGGTTTTTGAGTTCTTGCCGTCTATCACTAATTGTGTCAGGAATATCGAAAACAAAACCCACTAAACCGCACTCATTTCTGGCGCCCCCCTGGATGTACAGCGCCCTTAGCCTTTGCCTATACTGCCTATGCCACGGGCCGGCCCTGGGGCCAGTTGACGTATCTTTGGAGTTTACATGTTCTCCCCGTGCTTGCTTGACTTTCCCCTGGGTACCAGTTTCCTCCCAAAGTCCAAAGACATGCAGTATAGGTGAACTGAATATACCAAATTGGCACAAAGTTTTGTTTTGGTGGTGCATTGGGTAGCGCTGTCACATCACAGCAAGAAGGTAGCTGGTTCGAGCCTCGGCTGGGTCAGTTGTCATTTCTGTGGAGTTTGCATGTTCTCCCTGTGTTGGCATAGGTTTCCTCTGGGTGCCCCTGTTTCCCCCACAAGTCCAAAGACATGTGCTATAGGTGAATTTAATAAGCTAAATTGTCTATGGTGTAGGTGTGTGAATGAGTGTTTCCCAGTACTGGATTGCAGCTGGAAGGGCATCCGCTGTGTAAAACATATGCTGGATAAGTTGGGGGTTTATTCTGCTGTGGCAACCCCTAATAATCAAGGAATAGGCTGAGCAAACGAGTTCGGGGGAGCTCTCGAAACCCACTTGAGCTCAAACAGGGGGGTAGCCCCAGTCTCAAGGATCTCATGAGCTTAGGGCTCTCTTTCAGGATAGCATTTCAAACATGCCTTATTATCAATCATCAGATCTCTAGTGAACTCTTGAAAGTGTTTCCTTTAATGAACATATCTGATATGCTTTGTTATATCGTTCCAATTTCTATTTTATGCTTTAAATGACAACATTTTATTTAGAGTTTAGAGGAAATGCCATCAGTAATTTGCAGAACAAAACAAATGTCACACATTGCTCTAAATTGTTAATCCAGTGGAACTGTTTCTAGTTGTTATTTTTCCATAGTCGAGTATTCATTATGCAATATCGTAAACCTGTTCCTGTCTCTTTGGCCAGGAAAGAGGAAAAGGGGTGACGCAAGTGTCCTGAGTCTAGTAAAAGAGATGATGGAACAGGAGGAGGAAAACCGCAGACAAAGCTACATGCAAATGCAAATCCTTGTGGACATGCTTAAAGAGCAGGTGCAGAGAGAGGTGGAAGAGAGGGAGCGTCTGAGGGAAGAAGCGGCGGAGGCTCGACACCAGCAAGCTGCTTTCATGGAGAGCCTTCTGACCACTGTCAACAGACTCGTAGCAGGGGCACACAGCCTGCGTCTCCCTGAGGTTTTTGGTTTCTGCACGTTTTTTTGCGTTGTGGGCTGCTAACGAGCAGATTTCTTTTAAAAACCTGTGATCAGTTTCACTCATCTGAATAAGTAGTTTGCTAATAGCTTTTATAGAATTACTAAATTATACTTAGAAAAATACACAATGGCTTATTGGAACAGACCTCTCTAAGGTGAAAACTGATATTTCCCCTATAATTACTTAAATAATCAATTACCCATTTATTACCGTGTAGTTATTCATTAAACTTGCAACAGTTTGTGTTACGAGACATAAATAGACAGAAAACATTAGCAAAAATTACATGTCATATTTCGTCACCTTGGAATTTTAAGGTTCTATCTGCGTTCTGAAAGATTTTGAGATATTGAGCTTCAAAGTTTTTGCATTCCATAGCAAACAGTCTGTGTGTAACATTTGTTTTTTAAATAAAAAGTCTTAATGTAAATCCCTTATAAAAAAAAACATCCCTTAATGTAAATAAGTTGTCATTTAATAAGAATATTCAATTCAATTTCAATTCAGCTTTATTTGTATAGCGTTTTTACAATGTGGATTGTGTCACAGCAGCTTCACATAAATGGTCATAGTAACTGGAACAGTGTAGTTCAGTTTTTAGTGTTTAAGTTCAGTCCAGTTTAGCTCAGTTCAGTGTAATTTAATCATTACTGAGAGTTCAAACACTGAAGAGCCAATTCATCGATGCGTAGCTCTACCAATCCTGAACCATGCGAGCCAGTGGCGACAGCGGAGAGGGAAAAAAAACTTCACCAATAGGAGAGAGAAGAAAAAAAACCTTGAGAGAACCAGACTCAGTTGGGCACGACCATTTCAATTTCTCCGCTGGCCAAAAGTCTTGTGCAGAATTTCAGTCACCGCGGTGGAAGCTGGAAGCTGGCCTCAGCGAAGACTCGTCTGTCCCTGGAGCGTCACTGGAATAAACCTTGGGATCATCTCGTCGCTGGTCTTGGATCCAATCAGTGACTCTGCATAATCTGAGGACCTCGGGATGAGTATCCCCAGGTGGAAATAGAGGATAGAGAGAATAATTAGCGTAGCTGCTGTTCATAGTGTATATAAACAAGATGCAGAAGCCTGTGTGGAACCCGCTAGGTGATGCATTGAGTGTAATGCATTTATGCTTTACAAAACAGATAGGTCTTTAATCTAGTTTTGAACTGGGAGAGTGTGTCTGAGCCTCGAACGTTATCAGGAAGGCTATTCCAGAGTGTAGGAGCCATAAAGGAGAAGGCTCGACCTCCTTTACTTGATTTTACTATTCTAGGTACTACCAGAAGCCCTGAGTTTTGAGATCTTAAAGAGCGAGTTGGTTTGTAGCGAGACAGAAGGTTGGTTAGATAAACAGGAGCTAGATTATTTAGAGCTTTATAGGTGAGAAGTAATATTTTAAATTCAATACGAAACTTTACAGGCAGCCAGTGTAAGGAGGATAAAATTGGGGTTATATGATCATATTTTCTAGACCTGGTCAGAACTCTGGCTGCTGCATTTTGTACTAATTGAAGTTTGCTAATAGAGGATGCTGGGCAGCCAGCAAACAGAGCATTACAGTAATCCAGCCTAAAAGTCATAAAAGCATTGACTAACTTTTCTGATTCTGAGATGGATAGCATACTTCGTAATTTAGCGATATTTCTCAGATGAAAGAAGGCAGTTTTTGTGACATGGGATATATGGTTTTCAAAAGTTAGATTGCTGTCTAATATGACACCCAGATCTTTTATAGTAGAGCTAACGCTAACTTTGTATCCCTCTAATTGTAGATTGAGTTGCGGGATCTGCTGTGTGCAAGATTTAGGCCCAATAAGTAATAATTCTGTTTTGTCGGAGTTTAAGAGAAGAAAATTGTTGGTCATCCAGTCTTTAATGTCTTTGATACACTTAGTTAGTTTAGACAGTTGAGACGTCTCATCAGGTTTAGTTGAAATATATAATTGAGTATCATCTGCATTGCAGTGAAAGCTGATCCAGTGTCCCAAGGTCCTAAAACTGATCCTTGAGGCACCCCACACTTTAATACGTCAATAACTAAATTTTGACAAAAATGTCAGATAGAACCTTGTAATTCTAAGCTGATGATTTGTCTGCCGCTTTTAGTTTTTACTTTTTGGCAATTTCGTGCCTTAGCCAACGTTTCTGGTTATGTCTACATTCGATTCATTTTAATACTAAACAAACAACACACAACATACTCTCATCTCTAAATATTTTGTTTGCATTTACTCACGCTTCACTCGTCACTTTTTTTTCACAAGAAGTCTTTTTAAAAAAATTTACCTCAAATTTAGTTTTTTTTTGCCTCCTATGGAAGTCAATGGCTGCAGGTTTCCAACATTCTTCAAAAGATCTTTTGTGTTCAACAGAAAAAAAGGAACTCATAAAAAAAATATGGATCGACTTGAGGGTGAGAAACAAAATGAATATTTTTAATTTTGGGGTCAAATATCCGTACAAAAATGACATTTTCTGTCTGCTTGTGTCGGCACGTAGCTCTCTGCAACTCTCTCATAGTCTCCCACTGAAGCTAAGCAATGGCTGTGCCTGGTCAGTACCTGGATGGGAGACCACATGTAAAAGCTAAGTTGCTGCTGGAAGTGGTGTTAGTAAGGCCAGCTGTGGGTGCTCAACCCACAGTTTGTGTGGGTCCTAATGCCCCAGTATAGTGAAGGGGACTCTTTATTGCTCAGTTAGCGCTGTTTTTCCAATGAGATGTTAAACTCTCTGCGGTCGCTAAAAATCCCAGGATGAAAAAAAAAGTAAGAGTTTAGCCCAAATTTGCCCACTGGCCTCTGTCCATCATGGCGTCTAACCATCCCCATATCATAATTGGCTTCATCACTCTGTCTCTTTTTTTTTACTAATCAGCTGGTGTGTGGTGCAATATGGCTGCTGTTGCGTCATCCAGGTGGATGCTGCACACCGGTATTGAATGAGGAGAATCCCCCAATGTGTAAAGCACTTTGAGAGTCTAGAAAAGCCTATATAAATGTAGGAATTATTATTGTGTCACTTCAGAGTTCCTGCTGGTTCTGTGAATTCAACCAGGAAAAAACCCCAGTGGAGAAATTTAGTTCTCAGGGATTCCCCTGATGTCTAGTTCCTAAAACTTAATTTCTACTGTTTTACTATTCACTTTGAAATCTCGTAATGTGGCATGAACTGAAGGATATTAATAAAAAATAGTCTCACATAGCCAGATCTAGATAATCTGTAGTCCCATTAATAATTCATAATCAGTGTCATAACAGTGTGATAGTGTATCAGTGAATAGCAGAGTTTGTTCAAATGTTATGGAAATCTAAAGTTGGAAGAATTCTGTTCACTATTCAGTACGAAATACTTCCCGCAGACAATTTCGATATCATTTGTACTAACAGAAGGAACTGATGTCAACTGGCCAGCAACGGCATGGCATTCAACAAAATCAACAATTTGGAGATGACAAGATGGAAGCATGTGATTTGTCCCAATTGGCCTCCTCATATTAAATTCTTAAAGTATGTACTTTTTTGTGTACTGTTTTTTATAATTACGCATTTAGAAGTTAATGGCCAGACACCTCTTTATAAAAGTTAAAATTGTTGCAGATGAAGTATAATGTGGAAAACGCGATTTCAATATTTTGCGACCTTGGACGCTCTCGCCGCTTTCGGTGTGAACGTACGGTTAAAGGCGCAGTACGACAAAACCACCCCCTGCTGGAAATCAGTATAAAACAGCATCTTGTAAAAGGTATAATGAAAAATCTGATGGGTATTTTGATCTGAAACTTTATATACACATTCTAGAGACGCAAAAGACTTATATTAAATCTGAAAAAAGGGGTAACCTAGGTGCCCTTTAACAATCATTCAAACATCGTTACTCTATCCTCTTCACTTAATGGTTGGTCTCACACGTTCGCTATGTTTGTGGTTTGTTTACACTTTTTTTATTTAATCTGTTTGTAGTACTAATCGATTTCATGTCAAATACCCAATGCATTGTGGGCAATTTTAGTTTGTTCTGCACTTCAGATTTCTACCATCTGCGTAATTTTGGAAAACTCATTTCAACATACAATGATTTGGGACAGCCTCATTTTATTTTTTGAATACCATTTAGGATGGATAGTATTTAAATTGGGACACAGCCATGGAGTGTTGTCATAAATAGATGTGCAAGTTATTCATTTGAAGCAGTACAAACGAGGAGTAATCTTGTAATGCTGCATATCATCGCGGCTGAGAAAAGAACAATGATGCAGACAAACAGAGAGACAGACCAAAACATGAGATGGGTCTGAATTGCAGGAGACTCCCGGGGTGTTGGCAGGTATGCTGGTGTGTTTAATTACAGTTGGAAATAAACTGGAGAGGTGCAGCCCTCGAGGAACTGAGTTTAACACCTGTGATCTACTGTTTCAGGTAGAAATTTGATGTACAGATATATTGTTGCCTACATTGCGTATTTAATGTGAATTTGATTATGACTACAAATATGGTAAAATGTGTCTGCAACAACATGAATTTTAAATACATAGTTTAGGCCATCAACTTCTGAATGCATAATTATGTAAACACCTGAGGAGATTTCATGAAATACTCAAATGTTAGATTAACCTAGAAATTATTGAAAAAGCAGGTAACAAAGAAATATAATGGCTTGTTAACGAGGAAGTAGTGTCACAAATATTGCATACTCTTCTGTTACACTCAAAATTATGTACTTTTTTTCTTTACAAAAAAGTACATACTGTAAGGACATTGTATATGTAAGGCAAATTGAGACGCAGCAGCATTATTTTCCTTGTTCAGCAAACCGGGGTCTGTACTTCGTAGCTAGCTTAAATGATCTAAGATGATTTGGCAGATCCTGGATCTGTTCATTTTGATAACTGACATCTGGCTAATTTGGTTCTTCAAACAAGTTCGTGAATCAGATTAAAATGTCTGGATAAACTGATCTGAGATCGCTGCGTGTGTTGTGAAGGACTGATCTATCGATCCTCGAAATCATGATCAGCAATGCAACAATTGGCTAACGGCACAGCAGCGTGATGACATCATCTGATTAATATTCAATTATCCATGTGAGCAAAATTACATCAAATTCGTAGGAAACAGTTTGTTAAATGTTACACGCAATAACTTTACACCTTGTTGTGGGCTGCATGTTTGGCCCTTTCTTGTGTCATGAGCAATTTATTTAGTTTTACAGTTTTTCCTTATTATAGTACCCATAGTCTGCAACTTTTATAAAGCATCAAATCACCGTCATATTAACTGTCTAAACATGTTTATGACTTCATAATTATTGCTTTTAAAAAGTCACATATTGTGCATTTCTATATCATACTAAAAGTTCATATCAGTGAGTTTTCTCTTTGCACCACCAGGTGGCAGTCTTTGCACTTTCATTTCAGGGGTGCAGATTGCACAAGTTTTATTAATATATAACCTTATTTATTTTATTAATAACTATAACTTTTATATAGTTTTTAAAAAGATAGTATTTTCCCAAGTGTATATAACTAGTACTGTAAGAAAATATCAGAATTCGGTACATACTTTCTGTATTATCTTTGCTTGAACTAAGCCGATCTAATCCTGTTTATATGAATTAAACCTGCTTCCGACCAGGTTCGAGCTAGCAGAACTGTTGCTATGACAACAACAATCAGATCAGTTTTGAAGAACGAAACGATCCTGGATCATGTCAAATCGTCAATAACAAATCCAGCTAACTGAGTAATCCACGTACGAAGAACGGGCCCCTGATCGTAAATCTTGAGTCATCTAGCACTACACAGTTTTTTGTCCAATAGGGTAGGCTCTAGAGCGAGAAAGTCCCTCCCTTTTAATGTTGTCTTTTCAAGTCAGTCACTAACAATGGGTCGAAGGTGTGTATTTGGCTGTCCAAACGCACGCGCTTTATTTTGTTTCCCAACCACAAACTGGTTACGACAGAAGTGGTTGGAGTTTTTGCATTTCGAAGAGGGGGGTGTTTGCTCCAGTTCGCGGCTTTGTGACAGGCATTTCTCTGCTGAATGCTTCACCAATTTGGGAATGGTTAACGCGGGTATAACGTGCCACCTTTTATTAGCAAGCACGGCCGTTCCAACTATATACACTGTAGGCGCCTCTGCTCCTGCACGAGTAAGTATTATTTTCTCTAGACGCTTTACAGTACATTAAAACCTTCCGTCAAGTGTTGCTCTGCGCGTCTGATACATTTGAGTGACGTAGCAGCGTGATGACGCAAGCGAGTCTTTTGAACCGAATCTGTAGAACCGGTTGTTTGAAACGAACAGCTGAGAGGAAGTGTTTTCTAAACTGTAAAGGAGCACAGGTGACAGATATGGTGAAAAGGTGCGTTTTGGGTTGCTATCCTTTCAAAACATTATTCCCTTTCCCCAAACAACCGTGGCTTCGAACCCGCTGGCTTGAGTTCTTGCATTTTGAGGAAGGAGGAATAACAGAAAGCTCGCGTTTGTGTGCGAGGCATTTCGCCAAACAATGCTTCACTAATTTACAGCAGTACGAAATGGGTTTTGCTGACTTTCTGAATGTGATAGACACAGCTATCCCGACTATATACACTGTTGCTCCGCCATCGAGCGTCAAGGTAAGCAGTTAAAACCTGCCAATTTATGTTGCCGAATAACCGCCTATTCATTTTGACGCAAAGTTTCAGTCTGACTGACACAAAGAACGACCAATCACGTTCCTCTTGTGGCTTTAAAGGAACCGGTCATCACCCAAAATGCACGTGCTGTCATTTGTTTACCTACTCTCATCATTCTGGTTCTTAATGACCCAACACTAGGGGCTGCAAGATATTGGAAAAATCTGATACGGCAATGTTTTATTTTCTGCAATAAATATTGTGATATGAATATAGTTTCACAAGATGGTTTGTACTTTGCTTTGCTCTCATAATTGTTTTGACAGTTGGACCAGAAAAAAGACAAATGAAAATATATAATTAAGTTTTTCCTTAAAGTGAAATAATCTTGTTTTCGCTTTATTTATTTTAAATGCATTTTTTTCATGAATCATATAAATTGTGTATAAATACAGTAATTTAATACAATTCTGCAGCTCCTTTTCAGCTGTAATTCAGACTCAACATTGCGTATCTTGTGACTATTGTGGATATGCATATTGGATTTTGATGCTGAAACGATATATTGTGCAGTCCTAACACCATTTTAAACAGCTTTAGTTATCTTGCACATACCTAAAAAGTTTTTTTGAGTAGACGACTGTTTCACAATAATGTTCAAAAGTGCATTGGTAGCGTACAAATGCTGCAGCGTCATGATGTTCGTGGTTTACATTTTTGTATGCCATGGAATAGAGTTCCCTATGAAGAATATTCTCCATTGCTCAATAACTGTATTTTTGTATCTCCAACAGCCAGTGACAAAAGAAGTAGGTTGTCAGTGTGATGCTCCCATCATGAAGAGTGTGGGGGTCCAAGCAGATTATGTGCCAAAAAGGCCAAAACGGCGTAGTAAAGGTAACCCAGTGTTCACTTGTATTGTTTGTTTTTTCAACCGTTTAACTATTTTCCTCCTTTTCATATTAGCAATTCAAGTGAGACCCAGTGCAAGCGTGTCCTGCTCAGATGAGGAATTTCCTGTCAAATCTGAAGCTTCATCCACATTAACACCAATTAAAAGGCCACGTGTGGAGGATTCCTCAGACGGGTCATCATGCTGCTCAGAGGATCCTCCAGATGATACCCAAGTGCCTGATATTATCCCAGAAGAAGATATAAAGTAAGTTTTCGTATACATACCAGGGTCCCCATGCTTCTTAGAAGTATTTAGACATAAGGATTCAAGGCCCGGAAAGTATCTTAAAACAAACAGAGCTCCTTAAAAAGTGCTTGAATTACATTTGAAATGTTATTTGTTTAAGGTGTTGTTTCAACAATAGGTTCTATGCACAGCTAGTGTTTTTCAGCCAAAAATAAACTTCCAGTGAAAGCTTAATGTGAATATTTCCAATTTCATGAGGTCCTTTTTACAACTTTAATGTTGTAGTGTATTTACAGTACGTTCAGATAAATAGACTTAAGCATTCATTGAGTTATTCAAACATAAAACGAGATGAAAGACACTCAGGTTCAGCACGCGAGTGCAGAAACTCCATTGAGTAAAATAAACTGTCATATTTTAAAGATGTGTTGAGGGAAAATGAAACTACTAAACAAGAAGCAGTACTTCTTGTTTGGTCTGAGACCCACTTTTTATCTCATTCATATATATATATATATATAGGCATGCGCACATTACACTGTAAAGAGTATTAAAGAAATCAGACCTTAAACATGGCAATTTTATAATGGAAAGACAGTTCACCGGAAGCACTGAGACTGGCTGACTGAAACTGAAAGTCCCTGTGTAAATACTCTATTGTCATGCTACTGTCAAAACAGAAAAAGTAGCATAAAAATCTTGTACAAAAGCTATAAAAAATAATGCACATTTTGTAAATATTTCAGAAACTACATTTGAATAGTATCCGTTATGAATTCAACATTTATAAAAGGTTTTTGTTTAATATGATCTACATTTTTTTTTTTTTTTTTTGAAAATGACAAATTTAAAACATCACTGAGACATTTTTATGTAAATAAGTGTAAGTGACATGTTAAGTGCAGTTAGGAATTTCATGATGCTACACATGCTGTCCTTGTTTCAGCTGTTTATGAAAGTGTAGGAACCCTGACATACATGCATATTTTTTTTTTAAATATCTATGGTGGTGTTAGATAAATGCTTAACCAGCTATTATCATGTGTTGATACTGAGCACCCACTATTCACGTTTCAGTCAAATCCAGAATATTGCTCAAGACCAGTTCACACAAACAAATGACGCTAGAGACAACTCTCCTTCAGTAATTAGAGGCAATTCAGCCATTTATAATATTTGGTTTTGATGCTGGTTTGTGTTTTTGGTGGGGCTTTAACAATTTTTTTTAAATGTATAGGCTGCGTCGCCTCAGCACTTAGTCAAAATAACTAGAAGGAAATCAGGATTCTTTAGTGCACATAAACCAAACATGAATTGTTTTTTTTAATGATTAAAGACAGAGAAGATACATGATGTATAGCTTAATATTTGATGGTAGAAGTGTAAAATGTCAAATAATGCTGCAACTAAATTTGGGAGTTTTCAATTGGAAATATTGACTGAATTATTATACTCATGTAATTTGTAACTATATTATAAGAGGTTTATTTTAACAGACAACATTTCTTAGATCTTAAATTTTCACAATTAAAAAAAGACTCTGGCTGTTACCCAGGCCAGCTCTCTCTTGGAAAAGAGGTTTTGAATCTCAGTGAGAGTTCCTGCTTAAATAATGGTAAAAAAAAACAAACAAAAAAAAACTAAATTTTGTAATAGTAAAAGGTAAAATTGGGGGATAAAAAGTTCTCTTAACTATGATGCATGTGTAGAAAAGAAGGATAGTTTTCTAAAAAAATATAAAAAATTCAGCCTTTTGTGACAACTAACTGTGGTAAGTTAAAACAAAAGCTGCTGTTTTTACATGGTTTATTGAATAAAAAAAACATACAGAAGCTTATAATTAGTCAGTAATACTCTAATATGGTTAACATAAAATCCCTCTCCACCTCCACATGGTTTCGTTCTCTGCCGACTGTAATAATAGTCTGATTCAAACTAGGAGAGGGAGAAAGGCAGTTACAGTTGCACCTTGAGAAAACGCCTTATCAGTAAACATTCATCCAGAAGGCCTGACCAGAATGCTCAGTTTCAGTTCACCTCTGTAAAACACAAACACACACTGTGCAAACATACATCACCCACCAACTTGGTCCATTAAATGTCAGACAAACTGAATGAGCAACAAAACAATTGTTCCTAATTACATTCATTCCCAACTCTAAACCTACAGGCATCTTCCCCTTCACATGACCTCCCTCTTCAGAATAAAAATGAATTGATTTCTGCAGAGAATGCACATCACAAATGCAACATTCTACAAGCAACTGTGCTTTAGTGTTGCAATAAAAATCAAATGTTCCACAGGGGAATATGTGAGGGTGGAGGACAAAGAATGGCCTGCTGGTTTAGTGTTTGACAGGTAAGAAGAGGCAAAGGGGAATGGTTAAAAACATACAAAACACAAGTACCGTGTACAAAGACACCACAATGCAAAACAAAACTACAAGAGATACCAGCTTCCTGCACCACATTGAGTAGAAATAACTACTTAAAGGGCAGTTCACCCCAAAATAAAAAAGTTCATTTATTGGTAATGGAAACAAGTTATTGATGTTTTAATTTTGGGTGAATGTTTCCTTTTGGAGACCACACATACAATTAAAAAAGCCCTAAATAAATACAAGAGAGAAAGATATCTGTGGCAAGAATCAGCAACACACTGAACTGAGGAAAACAACAAAACAAATCACATATTGAGGGAGCTGAAGCAGCCATCGCTGTATTTATGTACCTTGTCTGCAACTCAACGGTTAAAAACAGACACTGCAAGCTAGACTGTAGCAACTGTATTAATACACCAGCTCAAAACACTGCTGACAAATGTTATTCCTTAACATTTATCAGCACAATTTCCTCACAGCTGATATGCACAAAACTCTGCTGCAGCTCAGCTCACAGACAGTGACCGCGAGTGACCTTGAAGAGTCCATGATCATTCGCATGCATGTTTAAAGGTATTTCTCTTGCTAGAACCACAGTGTGTTATTCATGAAGACTGAACAGATGGAGAGACCATGTAGTTGTATATCCACTGCAGAACCATGTGATTTTTATGCAGAAAGCAGCGTGATACACAATTATGAATGTGCAAAAAAAAACACAAAACTTGTCCAATCATCTCCCGTAAGCTGGTCAAAACGCTCAAATGCTTGCAAAAGTCCTTTACACAAGTCACAGCTCATAATATAGTCAGTCAGTAAGCGCCTCACTTTCTGTGCTTGTGGGAATGAGAGAGGCAAATGCATTCATACTGGAATACCAAGACGGTGTTTCTTTTTCTTAACAGGCTTGAGCCCTGTGATTCTTCGTACATCGTCGTCACCCTCTGAATCCTCCATTTCATCATCTGCAGAGAACAGGATCTGACCGGCACAAGAGGAAATGGGCAAAGAGAGAAAAAAAACTAATAAACAAGCAGCTGACTCTGATGATAGATTGTCCAATAGAATGGAATACTCTACTCCTTACAAACCTAAATGGGGTACAATGACTGAGCGACTGTAGTTGTTGAAATATTAGTAGCAAAAAACAATTGTTAGGAAAGACTGTGAACTCTGTTCATCCTGCAAGGTAAACACTATATTTACTGTTTCAAATAGAATCAAATGTACCCAGAATCTATAACTGGAGGCTTGGCAGTGTCTTAAAGACACATCAGTTTGAATACGTTCAGGCTTCCAAACTTTACATTCATTCTGGAATGTTGGTAAAGTAAAAGGGAGGAAGGGATGTACATTATAGGTCATGGGTTGAGGGAGGATTTTGGCTCAAAGTCAAGGGAAAACCTAAAATATGAATGCTGTCGTTCAGATGTTTGACGGGCAGTAAAAGTGTCTTTGCCAAAGCAAATCAGTGTATATAAATCCAGATTTTCCATGTTCAGACTTTGTGCTGATTGTTGGTTTCATTGTTATGTACATTCCATGAATTATTAAAGATTACCATTTATAATTAGTTATCATTTACTGGCTGTTTAAACCTACAAATAATATAATTATAATAAAAACGTTAATGTAAGGTGGTTTGTAAAAGTCGTTGTGACTAAAGAGAGCAGTCTCATAATTTAAAAGAGTGGTCAGAAGAGACGTTTGAATCTTAATATTTTGGTCAGACAAATTGATTGAATCCTTCAGACAGACCATGTGGATGTTACAAACTGAATAACTCTATTAACAGTGTTGTTAACCCCCATCTCTTACATTGATTGAGGAAGAGTGACTTACTTCTGATTCCGAGTCATCATGTGACAGTGCCCGTCTGTAGCGCACTTTGCTGTTTCCGCGAGGATCGTCTTCTGCTACTCTCTCCTCCAGTTTGGCTTTTGTTCTCCCCTTCTTCATTAGGAAGTTATCTACCACCCAGAACATAAGAGCCTGGGCACACAAAAATGAACAAATGAGTCCAAATATTGACTGAAGCATCGGTCAGATCTCTGAAGCATGCTCGACGCAAGAAACAAACAGCAAGCAAATATAACTGTATAGTAATATAAAGAGGTGCTGTCCATTTCTAATAAATGCTGTATATTGGGACTTTAAAGTTGTTTCTTAAACAGAAAATCAGCATATTAGAATGTTTTCAGAATGATCATATGACACTAAAGACCGCTTACAAAGCTCAGCTTTTCCATCGCAGGAATAATTTACAGTTTAAAATGTATTTACAATAGAAAGAATTTTAAATGATCAAATCTATTGTACAAATATTTCACAGTATTGCATTTTACTGTTCTAATCAAATAAATGCAGTGTAAAATAATGATCTAGCTCAATCTAAACTTTTGAACAGTACATGAAGCATGAAGGGGGACTGTCACTTACGTTCACGAAAAACGGGACGATTAGCATGACGATAGCTAGCTCTAGCTTAGGGTTCTTCAGGGGGTTGAGTGTAGCCAGCTGTCCAAAACAAATACACATTACATAGAAATTAAATGACCATCATATTAACTTTTTTCTTTTTGGTGGGTGTTTTTTATATTAACTACAAGTTATTAAAGCCAGTGGTCATTTTATATTCCCAAAATGCATCAGTAAAAAAATCAGACCACGAACCACAAGCTACAGTCTGTCGACCATTAAACACACTACTGACCTTCTTCCACTGTGGGATGAGGAGAACCAATATGATCATGACCTTCTCAAAGATCATGATGAGGATATACAGGGCACACTGACCCGCCCAGGCAGTGCACTGAACAGGCTCACCTGCACAAAAAACACAGAACATTTTAAACACAAGCAGAGTTTGCTTTAATGTAAAGACATGTTCTTTGCTGTTGAGCTGTTTTTAAAACGACTTTATTAAATTGTATCAAAGTTGTGTTTTACATTTAATACAAAATTACAACAAATTGTTTAGCTCAGTAAGAAAATGATAAATTACCACAAATTATTGTTTTAATCATTTGAAATTTGTTTTATTCAAAAACAAACTCAGGCTGCAATATTATGACAAAAAGGTTGATAATTCTTCTTAATATTGAAATGGAAATGATAAATTAATATACTACATGCACAAATGTTTCTGTGTTTGGAGAAATGACACCCCATAAACAGGTCTGTTCATTACAGTTCGCACAATTTATGCAAAATTTCTAAATGTATAGTGAGAAAATTGATACTATTCATTTTCACTTTAATAATTGTTATGGAGATTTCTTGTCTCCTCATTTTGAATTTGTGAAGCAATAAGTTACATTTTTGCAGCTGAATTATTCACTTATTAAAATACCTCAATTTCAGACCCTGATATTGACAAAAAAACTGAAAACAACAGCTTTGTGACTGCATTTCTGCATGTGTGGTTTAGTGGTTAGTTGAAACAATAAAACAACGTCCAAACTGGTTGGTTAAATTTGATATCTACCAATAAATAAGCATTGTAGTCTTTCAGCCATTACTTAAGCTCAAAATCATGACAGTGCTAGAAGTCAATCTAAAGCAGGGGTGGGAAACTGAATTTTCCAAGGGACCACAGCTGACTCTGGGGTAGTTTTAGAGGGCCAGAACATTACAGTTAATTTATTTTCAAAAGAAATGAACATTCTGTGAAACTATTCAATAAGCATTCATAAAACTCTAAAGTTTAAAAAAACAACCAATTTTAACAAACAAAAATATTTTAAGACCGGCATCACAATATTAACTTTATATCAATGCCACAAGGTTGTTTGTTTGCTTCACATTAGATAATTTTTATTTATTAATCAATTATTCATTTATTACTTTACGTTCAGTGAGAATCCTAGCCTGTATTGAGCTGAATAAGTGCACTGAAGTCAGGTTGAATATGAGGTGTGGTTGGCTGCGTCCGAAATTGCTTACTACTCAGTACGTACTGCATATGAATTTAAATGTACTACACGGCAGTTAGAAAAGTACGTTCTATACAGTATAAATGTAACTCGTTCAGTTGCGTCACTTCACTCCCATTCATGAATTCTCTCACGGTGCATCACGGGATAGTATAGCATGCCTTGGATGCACACTTCAGAATCTCACCAGAAGTAGTAGGTCACCCGGGTTTTTCCTCGCATACGGTTTTTTGAATTCTATGAATTCGGACACTATTCAGATCGCATACTGTTTTTAGCGTACTATATAGTATGGAAGTATGCGATTTCAGACGCAGCCTATGGTCATCACTGAGAGAGGATCTGTTTCTGCATTTGTTAAATAATAATAAGTAAAGGTAATTAGACAACCTTTATTACTGTGTTATTCCATACAAAGCGTTCCATTCCATTCCATACGAAGCTACTTGGATGGTTTCTATCACATGACTCGTGGTTCACTTGTGGCATTCTTAAAATGTTTTGATTTTTTCAACTCGTGGCGCCTGAAAAACATGAGCATGTCATATTGCATGTGCATCCCTTTTCATTTTTTCGCGTCTCCATTTGAAATAACGAAACAAAGCGTGCAAAAGACGCTATGTGCAAGTCCACTTATGTTAATTCGCAATATCTGACCTGTGCATTGCAAGGCCCTATTTGCGGTTGAATTTAAATTAAATAAATACTTACCGCAGGCCAATCAAAGAAGTCCCAAAGGGTCACAAAATGCAGTGTTGGTCAAAACCATAATACTAGTAATGCGTTACTGTAACAGAATAACTTTTGACTGTGACTAATACTATTAAGCATTACTTTTTAAATACATTAACTCCATTATCATTGCAGCATGATGTGTTTGTCTGTTACTTAAAAAGTTAATTATTTTTGGCTGCACTCTAGCCTACATCTTCCGGTTTACAGCAGCAATGCATTGTACGATTGATGAATGCCAACCAACCACTGTAAAGAAGACGTGTCGTGTATGAGGTGCCAGACTGGACAAAAGTGAAGCAAAAGTAGAGAGACCAAATGATCGCGAGGTACACCAAGTGTGCGTGCAAGAGAGACCTGGTGCACCAAGTGTGCGCGCAAAGGAGAACGAATGCACACTAGGTAAACTGAGTGTGTGTGAGAGTGTGTGTGTGTGTGTGTGTGTGTGTGTGTATGTGTGTGTGCAATTGACTATTAACGTTACTATTATTAATTACCAGTACAACTATGTTAGTTGTTTCAAATAAATAAGCACATATTTGCACACAACAGCAGATTTTGCCTTTGGAGTATACACAGCTTACTTTCCATACCTTGCTGACAATCCTTGTTTAATTTGTTGTTAGTTTGAAATAAGGCTCATAAATGTCATTTTTGAGCAGCTGCTTTATGTTTGTTTTGTTTAGAATGCATCAAATGTATGGTTGTCTCTAATAGCAGTTTCTTGGTGCCGAGTTTCACCAAATTGATTCTGAATGATCATTCAGATTACTCTTATTTATTTCATAAAGGTTTTTATGTTTGTTGTATATTGTCACTAATTTCATACTCAAGCTGTGAAGGTACAGGTTTAATGGTTAAATACAACCTTATAAACCTTTAGCAACTTTAGTTTTTGAATATATCTTAAAGTATATTCAGCTGGTTTATCCCCTTGTGATATTTTTCATTTTTTTGCTGCTGGTCTGACCAATAAATCGTCACCTTAGAATTATAAGGTTCTATCTGCATTCTGAATGATTTTGAGATATTGAGCTTCAAAGTTTTTGCATTCCATATAACAAACAATATGTGTGTAACAGTTCTCTTTCATATATTAACATGACAGGTACTCTAAATGTAAATTATCAAAGTTCTCTTACATTTGCCAATTGGAGCAAATAAACCACGGTTCTGTCTGCATTTACCTTCTCATTCTGAAAAGTCATTTTTCACTTGGAATTATAAGGTTCTATCTGGCAGATCATTAATTGAAGCGTTACTTTTCAAGAAATACAATAAAAAATATATATAGTTTGGTGTTGTAACAATATGTTGAGGCTTGAAGAAGTAACATTTGTGCTTTCTATAACATTTATTTAATGTTGTAGGATGAATATTTTTACATGTTCAAGTTTAACATACAAGCTGTGCTTAATATTTTATCCAGTGCAGATGTAAATTTTATGTAATTAATATGGTCATAATTATTCAACTTTATGCTTTATATGAATTATTGAATTATATTTATTGAATTATATGCCCCATGAATTAACTCAAGTATTTGCCCTTTAAGGTTATATATTAAATTAAGACTTTAAAAGAAAACAGACTGTGAGCAAATGAGTTTAATAAACACTGAAAAGTGTTTCACTGACTATATATACACACACACAAACAAAAAATATTTCACATTTAATATATAATAATATATATATATATATATATATATATATATATATATATATATATATATATATTTTTTTTTTTAATGTCAAATTTAATGTCAAAAAATGCTTCTAAATTTTGTGTGATTTTGTCTTTCTGGTGTTTCCCCGCTGTCAATGGAGCAGTCCGGCAAATGACAAAGAAAGCTGGTCCTGATTGGTCCTCGTGCGTGCATTAAAAATGCTGATTGGCTCACAGAAAGAACCTTATATAGCTAAGCTAGAGTTCAACTTTCTAGATAAATTGTTTTTTGTTTTTTAAATAATAAAGCTTAAAATATAAACAACTTATTAAAAAAACAAAAAAACAATGTAAATAAGTTATCATTTAATAAGAATGTCAATAACTCAATTTTGACAAAAATGTGAGATAGAACCTTATAATTCTAAGGTGACGAAATGTATTTATTTTTTGCCCTGTCAGTGTAACCCCGCTGGTCCTGCACTATCCAACCAGCTCCGAGCTGGTATCAAACCGGCGACCGTGTTAGAGTCGGTTGCTCTAACAAGGAGGCTAAAGACCATGGCCTCTACCGGCTGTCGCTAGAGCACCTTTAGATGTCAGAGGAGTGAGGTTTACTAGCTTCACTAGCTGGCCTCCGTTACATCAGCAACTTATGGCTATTTCATGGCAAAATGGATATACATAAAATATTACATGATAAAAACTAATTTGTATTACAATAACAAGTTACCTAAACAAATATATAGGACAGAAACAAATAAAATTCACACGAAAATATATTCAAAGTTAAATAAGATTTTCAGATACATTTTTGATCAATAATTTAAGATTCTTCATGGTGGTACCTTTTTAAAAATGTCCATCAAAGTACTCTCCTTAGAATTTCCAATTCGACATCTAGTATAGACAGTTTGATCATGCCTGGTCTCAAAATTATAATTTGCTAAGTGACTTCAATTAATTTGTGTTTTAAAATGACTTGTGGACTTGAAGTCTGTCTTGTGTTTTAGTTGTGAGAATGTAAATTATTTAAAACTGTGAAGCTGATCAACAGTATATTCTCCATGCAGCACTTAAGTGACATTACTAATGGCAGCATTAAAACGGTTCTTTGGAAAAGTAGCTCAAATGACTTTTAACAGCAATGCATTCTTTTTTGGTGTAAGTAATTGATAAAGTGATTGAGTTACTTTTTGAATGTAATGTCTATAACTAGTTGCTATTTTTTAGTAAATAGCAAACACTGGTAAAATGCCCAGGTCTGCCCGAAAGGAAAGCAAATTCCTTTATATGATAGAAAAGTGCCTTGCAAGACTGATTGTTTGGTTTAATACAGCCATTTTAATCTATAAAGAACAAGATTTCCATCACAGTTTAAGCTAATTTCATTCAGTGAACAAAAACCAAACAATGATTAGCAAGTAAAAGGCTGTTTTAGTTTGAACACCCTTTTTTTGTGTTGTTTACACAAGGGGTGTAAGGCTCATACCATACTCTCCAAAACGCAATGAATCCCACTGTCTCCATTCCACCACAACGCTAATAGCCTTCACACCGCCATAGATCACCAGCATGCCCAGCGTCGCATCCAACAGGAAGTTGATCAGGTATCTATGAAAAACCACAGTGGTAGTTGGTACCCGAGCACAGCCCAACACAAATATGCAAAAAAAACACAAAGACAAAAGACAGGGAAGTACAGCGATGTGTGTGGGGGGGAAACACAGAAAGGAGGACGCGCATACAGACTCACAGTGAACATGGGTCCTCCTTTGTGAGGTCAGACAGGTAGACATTGGCAAAGTGAATGAACAGCATCCCTATGGCCTGTTTGGAGGTGTCCAGAAACCTGAGAGAGGTGAAGGGGAACGGTGAGAGGGAGGAGACCTGGTTAGAGCTCACCGAGGGGAACGGGGCGACAGAGGGCCGCTAGACTGATCTCAGGTCAGTGGAGTGCAGCATTGACCGTGCATGTGTTGTTGTTTTTTTATTTAATTATCTAGTGCTTGCTAATGACAAAATGGCGATTTACCAGATTTTCCAGGGTCTCCGTTCATGCTTGGGCTCCCTAAAGCGTTTCACTGTGGAGAGGAAAGAGAAGCAGAAGAAAGAAAGTGATCAATAATGTTTGCCACATGGGAGCAGTGCTGATGCTAAAATCTCTTTCCTGGATCTGTCTGATGCAGAGCTTGGAAAAACACAGAGGTCAATGAGTTCTATATAATAGTAACATTGCGAAACGGGAAGAAACAAATGAGGAACTGCTAAAGCTTTTGCGTTCATAAAATGTTTAAATGAATTAGAACTTTTATTTATTTTAACCAATAACTACCTGCTCTACCAAATAGTTGACCATACATTGACTGTTAAAAAAAAGACTGTTTTAAATAATAGTTTACACACAGCATTGTTGGTTTACAAAATAATCAAACAAACAAAATCCAGTTGCACTGCCCCACTTCATTTTGGTTTTACTGACAACAACTAAAAAAAAAAAAGAAAAAAAAGAAAACATGTTAAATGAGAATCTGAAATATTTTATGGCAAACTTAAAAAACTAAAGATGATTTACTATTCAATTTTTTTTATTTTGGTTATGTTTTTAAATAAATTGGTTTTACACTTCATATTTTCGGATTTTTCAAAGTATATGTATTAATTCCAGGACTTTCACTGTAAACTGACAAATCAACCATTTGGTAGAGGTTGATATTTTAGAAATTTTGGGATGTGTTAATGCATTGAGTGTGCTTACTAAGGATATAAGGAGTTAAGAAATGCAATCTAAAACACTTTTTTTTGGTTGGCCAGTTAAAGGGTTAAGCACTAAATTAGCATACTTAAAAAAATGATACTGAACATTCTGCTTGATCAGTTAAACATTTCAACTCAACTAAGATTAATGAACGATTATTTTATTTGTTTACTTTACTTTTTTGCCCTCATAATTCACTGTCAGGTTTTGTACAGTAAATAGGCTTGTGTGTTACAAGTTAGAGATTTCTGAATGAAGGGTGGATTACTTGATCTTAATATATATATATATATATATATATATATATATATATATATATATATATATTAAAGGAAACACACACTATCTACTTTTTATGATTATTTACTGAACGTCAATGATGAACAACTGAAATTAAAACACTCATTGCCTAAAACCAACAGTCACTTTTTTCTTATAAAAAAAAGTAAAAACAAATAACTTGCACTTTTGGAAACAAAATCAATTATAATTTTTAATGTTTTCAAAACTAGACAATAAGCAGCATCTCTTCTAAATAAAATGACTATTGTATATCCTGTAAATATTTTAACTGAGAATTTCCTGACACTTCTGTAAACAAATATTTTCATGTAAAAATAAAATTTTATTGTAAAAGAAAATATGCCGCCTCAAGGCATCTCTGCCGCAGCTTCTGATTATTGTTAATGTAATGCAAACATGTGACATGTAGTTACATTTTGAGAGGTGCGCAGGTATGCAACCACACAAAGCCTGTGCCAGTCTATACCCATGCATTCGTTGCAGAAGTATAAATTAGCCTTAATGGAGCATAGTCACGTGACTCCACATGTGGTAAAGAAAGTAATTTAAAAAATTGAGCTGGAAAAATTAGATCGTTAAGTTAACGATAAGTTCTGAATGTCAGTTTTCATTACTTTGCGATTAATCGCCCAACGCTAAATAGAATATATACAAAAAATACTTTGTAAAAGTATTACATGTCTAATAAAAAGTGCAGCAAAGGTGCACATACTATGCTTACGGCTGAAAGCAATCCTTACGATTTTTTGACTGGCAGTATAAGATCTTTATATACATTTTAGGAACTCATGCTCATCATGAAAATAGATGTACTGAATTTATGAACTCCATTAAAAATACATTTACCTTTTACTAATAAAAACTATAATGCAGATATAAATAAATGCATTAGTTTGCTTTTGAAGACGAGGTGAGAACTGCTGCAGTTTGAGCTGTGGAAAGCACTAGTGCAGCCACTGTAGTTGCCAAACGTGACCCAATGGTTAACAAAAATAAAGGACAGCCTGTTTCACACAATGGCTGTTTGTTTGTGTACAGCTATTAACTACGTGTCCCCTGAACACTCTTTACAATTACTCCTGGCATAACCACTGAGAGCAGATGATGCTGACAATTTTACACATCTCATTAATTCCTCTAGCTTATCATGCAGTTTTTTACACATTTTTATCAAGTCTTATTACACCTCAAAAATGATAAAAAAATAGCTCAGAATGTCCTGTCAAAAAATAAGTTATTTAGTTGCTGGAATAAAGTTAGTTTAGAAAAGCCCTCATTATAGTATTACATGGTAATTATTAACCTTGAACGTGGTCTGAAACAGCTAGACAAATAATATTTCGACATTTTACCAATACCTTTAATCTAAAAGTGTAATTGTTGTAGTGGTGGCTTGGACTCTTAATGCTTTTATTAAACTGAGTACATTTGAAGAGAGTGTGCAAGACAAATTAGTCTTTTGACCACTTAATGTGTGACATTTATTTATTTGTTTGTTTTTAAATTAAAAGAATCCTAGTTTAATTTTGTTGCAGTTCTATTTTCAAGTTCACTTGTTAAATATAAAATAATTATTTAAAAAATATTTACTTTTTTAAATATTTTGCCATATCCCTCAGCCCTAGTTACAGGTATCTATAGATCTTTGCACATAAGTAAGACATGCTGCAAGCACATACAAATAGAAACGTGTGAGTCAATGAACTGAACAACTTACGAACCCATGGCAAAAGCCACAGACTGCCCAATATGGGGTTGTCATGAAATGCACTCACACACAGTCTTTAATTGTCAGCACTGCACTGAATGACTCACGGACATGCATTGACCTGTCTGCCTCAAGAACAAAACCTTCAATGACTCAAACTGAGCTCATTTTTAAGGTCTCAATGAAAAAGAAATTATGACAGATTATTTTGTGTATGCAGGCATGTGCTTTGGCTGTTAACATTTTCAAATTTCTACACAGGTTCTATATAGAAAAGGCACAAGGCTGTTCTCACGTAAACAAAACACTAAAAGGTTCTTAACAATATGAAGATTGTAGGTATTAATATGTAACATTATTGGGTGACTAAAGTACAAAGATGTAACCCATGGAAAGAGGCCATAGCTGGTAAATGGAAAGTACTAAAGTACAGATACTATTTACAAGGCTTCTGCGTATATTTACGTTCTCCAAAGTTTTATCAAGTCACATTTAAGATTATACAGAAATTAAACATTTTAGACATATACAGAGCCAAACGCTAAGGATGTTTGTTTGTAATGGCCCAGTTAGATCAATGGAATTTTTGCTTGCAACAAAAAGTGCCTATTTCTCAGTCACATATTGTCAATTTTTCAACATATTGTATATACATGTATATTTTAACCAAATGCATGTCTGTTATAAAACCTTAATTTTTTTGCTTATTTATAAATATTATGTCCACTCCCCCTAACTTCTGTAGATAGTTTTTTGTATAAATGGACGATCATGTAAAGGGATATATTGGCTTGTTATTATCATGAGGAATTGTTTAATTGTTTTATGGTTTTCTTTTCCTGATTAGGGTATTTAATTTAAATTAATTTAAAAACATCTAATAGTTGTTGCGATTGTATCGCTTTGCAAACCAGTTTTATTTATATGGATTGTTGGTGATTGGGTAGCTGTATTTGGATAGAGCAAAATTAAGACCCGTTTAAAATTATTTAAAACCTACAACACAATATTTCAGTGAATTTATTTTTAAAGACCTAAAATTTTGTTCTTTAAATTTTAGACTTTAAGACCCCGCAGAACTCCTGATTTTGTCATTTAGCAGATACTTTTGTCCAAAGTGACTTAAGGGAGGGGGCATGCAGCAATTTAACAAGCAGAGGCAATACACACAAGTGCTAATTATACAAATGCAGAAAATTACATGCTAGAGTAAAGAGGGGGAGTGTTTTTTAAGACTGATCAGTGTTTCTACAAGTTGTTTGTCAAGCCCAATCACCTGTGTGAAGCACACTTAGGCAATGCAGTTTTTGATTTTTTTTAAAGATATGGAGTGATTAGAAAGTGCAAATGTGCAAAACTGGTGAAAGAGTTGAATAGATGAGAGTAGTTTCAGAGATGAAAGTGTGTTCTACACTGTAAAAACATTTACTCAATTGTAAGGCAACTTGCTGCAGAGCTTCGAGTTGACTTGACTTTTAACCCAAGTACTGCTATTGACTCGAATTAAGCTGAGTAAACAAAAAAAATAATAATTCTGAAGCTGCTTGCCTTAAAATTGTCATCTTTTTTTCTTTTTACAGTGTACAGGTGGCTCAAGCCCACTCACCTGTTTGAGGTGCCTTCAGAATTGACTATTGCCATTGTTTTGACAAGGTCACAAAACAATACGCTGAGGTTCAAAGTAAAAACTACATCAATATTTAAAAAACATAATTCAAGCTCAACCATGTTTGCATAACACAAGTGCTAATGAGGTCCATAAAAACCAATGAGCTTTTGAGGAACTAATGATGAGCTTTGGGTTAACATATGGCAGAACTAAAAACTAAAAAATGAATCAGTTGTTCACCATATAAAGGGATCATGTCTCCTTAGAAGATTTGGATTAAGCTGCCCAATCTGTCTGTTCTTAATCTATTCATCAAAGTTCTGGGGCTAAACGCTTGTGAGGTTTTATATAATGAGGAAGAAGGGTAAATGAAGACAATTTTTTTAATTTTTTTTGTGTGTGAACCATCACACTGATTATTGTGAAACTGTACAATCACATACAGTAAATAAATGTACACCAAAAATGTGAACATCTTGGGAGACGAGGGTTTGGGAAAATTATTATACACTTACTCTAAAAATAAACGAACCACATGCATTCAGGGAACATTTTTATTTCATACTGAATTAAAAGAAAGCAGATACCCCATACTTACACATAAGGGTGCTGAAGGCCACCACTCCCAGCAGGCCCTGCAGGAAGATGCCGAAGGAGCCCATGAAGTCCCCGTTGGAGCAGCCCTGGGCCTGGAGCTCAGTGGGCGAGGAGTTAGAGGATGCAGACGGCAGCTGACCCCGGGACAGCATACTGACCCCGACACCCGCCATTGCGCAAAACCGACTAAATCGTTTCAGCAAGCCTCACAATATCAGTCGATGAACGGTAAGTTACGATGACACAGCGAACGCGCATAATGAAGGCTTTTACGAGCCTCCAGTCGCGGTTACTCAAGCAAAGATGTATCGCGTTTCATAATGCAGCGTCCAGTTGTGAGCTACCTAATGTCTGTCAGCAGGTTGTGCTGTATAAACATCCTCTTCAGCATCGAGTAAACATGCTTGAAGCTGAGGTGTGCTGCGGTTGTTGACGGCTACAGCTGGTAAACGCAATACTACAACACACGCGCTGTCATGGAGACATTTAACGTTATCAGTTAACGTAGATTATCATACAGCGCGTGCGATTAGCTGCTGAAGCAAAACAATTGATAAAAGCGGTTAAAAGCCTACGGTTTGGAACATTGCGTGTTAAACTTACTTCCCGTAACAACTCGGTTAGATAAGCAAATAATAAGTTGCCGGTAGGGTAGTTCTGTTGATTTAACGTTGTATTACCAAGAGTCCGGTTAGTTAGGCGGTCCTGCTAGCCAACCAGCTGAGGTAAATCCCGCCACCGCTGCTTTCAGGACTTGAGTTGTTTGTGAGTCTGCTCGCATTCAGGAGGTTTTACGTCCAAACTTGTTACAAACGCGTGTAGAGACGAGATGTTTTATCTCTAAACGCAGAACACTTCCTTTCATACTGTATTCAGGTGCAACTCATTTTACGCGACAGTCTACTGCGTCATTATCACGGTGACACGTTTGCCTAAAGCATGATGGGAAATGTAGTTCTTTACGATTTTCTTGTAAGTTAGCCGCAGGTGCATCTCGTGAAATTATAAAATGGATCTCAGATTTAACTTAAATTTAAAGAATAATAGAATTAATATATTTGTTAATTTAAAATGCTTTTACTTATTCTGTTAAAAGTAATAAGTAATGTTATTGTAATTGTAAACCGTGGTGAAAATGAACAAGATGACCATAAAAGCAAAAAAAGCAGCAAAAATGACCATTTAATATAAATTATTTATTCTATATTTAAATATAATTATAATAAGGGTCTATTATTATAGCGTTAAATAATAAGGGTCTATTATAATAGCGTTAAATAATATGTTTGCAGATAGATAGATATGAACAAATTAAATGATAGCAGCTGAGAAATTAAAGGAATAAAATATATTTTTAAATATTAAAATTAAAAAAAGAAATCAGTTCATTTCAGTTAAACATTTCACAATATATTTATGGGAATTAAATTATATGTAATAGTTTTCTTGAAACAATAAAATAAACCATACAGAGCTCAATTACATTTTTATAATTCAAATATTATATAGATTGTATGAACTTCGCTAAGTTTTATTAACAAAATAAAACTAAAATTACTAATCACAATTATTTGTATCACAATAAATCAATAACACAAAATTCATGATGGTGAGAGACCCATTTCATTAATTTTCCTTCCGCTTAGTCCCTTAATTCACCACAGCGGAATGAACCGTCAACTTATCCCAGCAACCCAGTATGGAAAATATTCATACACACATTCAGACACATACTGTACACTACGGCCAATTTAGCTTACCCAATTCACCTATAGCGCATGTCTTTAGTCAGTGGGGGAGACCAGAGCACCCAGAAGAAACTTGCGCAAACACAAGGAGAATATGCAAACTCCACACAGAAAAGCTAACTGACCCAGTCGAAGCTCGAACCAGCGACCTTCTTGCTGTGAGGTGATCGTGTTACCCACTGCACCACTGTGATGCCCAATGTACATTTAATATACATAATTTATTATATTTTTACAGGGTCTCTGCAGCAGATAACATGTCAAATTTAAGACTTTTTAAGACCATTAAGTATTAAATTGTAGACCTATATCGCAATATCAAAAACGTGAAAGAAAATGTATGAGCACAAAATTAGGGGTAAAATAAATGTATTTAAATTGAACAGTACTAAAGACAGGCTAAATGCACCATTATACAGAAAAAAAACACAGAAAAAAAACAAACATCTTAACGCTGATTTATACTTTCGCCCGGCGCGGCATCGCACACCTTACAAAATGGACAAGGCTTTTATACTTGACACGTTTGCTATTGAGATATTTTTTTAAATGACAGGGGGCGGTGAAAAAAACAAAGTAAAATCAGACGAATAAAAAGATAATCATTATCATTGAAGATGTTTTTGGGGGCCTCTTTTTTTGTTTTAACAAACTTATCCCTCAGGTTTTTCCAAAGTTTTACAAAAACTTTCCTCCTTTCCCAAAGCTGTTGCAATTTCTAGCCAAGAATTATTGGTCATCTGGTTCTCCCTATGATCACACATGGACGGATCATAAAGATGTCGGTACAGACAGATGTACCTGTTTCAGACAAAATATCTGCAAAGTGTTTCATATTCAACTCAAATCAAATGCGGCGCCGCACAAATTGTTCGCCTGAGTCTCAAAAAATTTCATTAGCTCCGCTACAGCGTTAGTTCACTGACAAATGTCGTGAGCGCAGTATTACAAGTCAAGAGTGCATTCATGTAATCCGAGCGAGCGAATCTCTTTGCTCGTGCACCGATTTCCTCTGTTTGTGGACAAAACTGTGCGGGCTCTCAAATATAATACGCTGCTCATGCGCAAATTTTCTCACTCTCAAATAAGCACAGCTCATGCACAAATTTTCTTGCGCACTCTCAGTACACTGTTCCCTCTTCCTTTCGTGCGTTTTGATATGATTTATATAAGTACACTATTAACAATAACCAAAATACTAAAATAGACTTACATGTTACATTTTAATCTAATAAAACATCACATTTTTGGCTGTATGTTGTATGATGAGATATTTCCAGTTTCAAACACCTAAAGACACAGAGAAAAGTTTTATTTTAAAAACATCTATTAAACATTCATAAGGTGCACCATACTAATAAAATAAAAACATTTAAATATAAATAATGCAAGCAGAAATGTAACTGTGACAGAAAAAAGGGAAAAACTTGACAAGGTATTATAGCCAACTGCACTATTCACTCTTCAAATAAATCTCACAATCAATCCCATTTTATCACTAAAACAAAGTGAACTAGTCTCTGCTGTACAGTGTTTTGTAAAGTACAGTAAAGTACTGTAATCTGTTGTGGTAATAATATAGTTGCTATGGTAAGACAACAAGTGTAATATAAACAAACTACCCTGTGCAGTGTTTTTTTTTTGTTTTTTTTACAATATATTCTATTATTCTACAATTCACCACACTTTACTGTAGTAAAACTACACTGTATTTCGTTTTATCAGTTCACTATTCTTAATATGCTGAAGCATCTCTGGAGAGCAAAAGCACGAAAGGAGTCCGACGGATCGAGAGCAGATCATTCGCATGTGAGCGGCCAGTGTTTTGAGAACTCTCCCAACTTAGAAAAAAGGCTCACGACATTTGTCAGTGAAATAACGGCATACTCTGCCAGCCGAAATCATGCCGCGCACTTAAAGCGAACTTCCGCAAACACAGCGATGACGTCACATTCGCAGCGCACTGAGTTTAAAAACAGAAAGCTGATCTTACAATTCGACTAGTGAAATAAAGAACTACAACACCCTAAAAACCTAGCAACAACAACAAAAAAAGAATTTAAATGAGCATTAGATGTAGCGTTGCATGAACATCGCAAAAATAAGACCTGTGCAAAAATATTTAAGAACTAAAACAGAGAATTTAAGACTTTTTAAAGCCTTAAATTTTGTTTTTTTAAATTTTTGACTTTTTAAGACCCCGCGGGGACCCTGATTTAAAGAAAAACAATTAAACTAAGGGTCTACTAAATAATAGTGTTAAGTAATTTGTTTGCAGGCAGGCAGACAGACAGACAGAAAGAAAGACAGACAGACAGACAGACAGACAGAGATAAAAGGTTACAGACCTTATTCCTCACATAAATTTGACCCTAAAACTTTCAACAGAACTCTAATATAAGACAGTATATATTTAAAATGCAATATCTTTGACCTAAATATTAAAACACATGGTATACAAATGAAAAACTGTAACTAGGTAAAAAACTCATACATCAGTTCATGTAGTTTTGTCACTAAATTTCTCAACCAAATCCACTTGAAAACAAAAAACAAGTCAAGATTCTGTTAATTTTATTTTCTTTTAAATAACATTTCCACCAACAAATGATCAAAAGTAAACTGATATTAATTGAACAACCTTAAATCAAATCTGTGTAAAACGGGAAATGAACAATTGGGGCGAGACAAGGCTCCAAAAACATTTTTTTTTTGTTTTTCAACAGTAGAGCACAAATTCTTAAAGAAGAAGTAGGATGAATAGGGATGGGCTATTAAATAAAAAAGCAAGACTGTTGCATATCTCATCGTCAATTCAAATACAATCCTTCAATGAAAAATCTAAAGATTCTGTTTATAAGGGCACAGCTTCGCAATACAAGGCCAAACCGATGATTACAACACAGAGGCCCCTGACATTATTCAATGCAGTATTTGCATTTCAACACAGTGGCTGCATTCTGTTTGATAATAAAAATATGACTTTTTCAAGCAGACACATTTCTAAGAGTACAAAACTCTTCAATTTGGTGTTGATAGACCCTGGATTTGCCACAACGAATGTTTTATCCCTATCACAGTCAATGACGTAACCTGAAATATTTGTGTGCTTATGTCTCAACCATAACACGTTGTTATTTATTTATTATTACTTTGCACTTTTAGTTAATAATGCATCATTCGAATAAGCAAAAGTTTATTAGTATTTACAGAAACCACAATGGCAGAAACCATCATGCGTTTGCACTGTTGTTTTACAGTGTAATTCCCAAGCTTTAATAGAAAACCAAACTGAAACGGGAGCATTAAAGCTGTCCCACTAAAATTAACATCTGCTTATTTACACTATTTACATTCACACTCCTGTATGTACACATTTGCATACCGCTTACAGTAGAAGGGCAACTGCTTTTTGTTTTCTTGTGCTTAAGGTAAATGCATTGTCATCCGCTCTACAGTTCATAAAGGTTTCAGAAACAAGTTTAGCTTTGCTTATTGTTGAATGCATGGATTAGTTCCTCTGACCCAGGTTTAAGTTTACCCTGAGCTCAACCAATCTTAAAAAAGACAACAGCCTAGTCTCCAAATGAAGAGCCCGACTGTAAAAGTACCATATTCACCCTGTTGGAAAAAATGCCTCCCCCAACTGTGCCT